AATTGCTGCAGTGTGAAAACAGCCACTCCCCGTGCCCTGTGGGTCTAATTGGCTCGGATTAAAGAAGCCATTATATCAGTGGAGCTGATCTGAAAGCTGAGCTGCAGGCAGCTCACACTTTCTATCACGCTGAGAAACCGATACAGCTGCTGCAGCTTCCACATACACTCACTTTTTAAACACAGCACTCCTGATTGTATAAACAGTGTGTGTGTGTGTGTGTGTGTATGAAACGGATACAATGATCTGTATTTCAGAACGTAGTTACAATGTGCTTCATCACAACAACATGAGGTATTTGGTGTTGTGAGATAGTTTTATGGTCCAATAAAGTGGGGAGAATGAAATGTTACGTGCTCATGGTAAATTGGTCTGATTAATTAATTCAGTTGAACGCCTTAACTGTAAGCTCAAACTCATTGTTGTTTTGTGCAAGAAGAAGAAGAAGCAGAAGAACAGGAAAAATATCAAACCTGCTCCATGTGGCTGCACACAGTCAGATTACTTGCTTTACTCAAACCTTCCAACTATCAACCAAAATAGTTTCAGATGTCTGAAACATGATACGAAGTAATACACTGGTTTTACTATTGACCATTTACTGTAACCCCGTATAAAATGGCTGACATATAACGAGAACTATACGTCTGAGGTGGTTAGAACCAGTGTTGTGATTACAGACATTTTCATGCCCCAGTCAGTGCAGATTGTAGTGACAATTATTATCAAAAGCTTTTGTTTATGTTATGTGTTAATGTAAAATATACATCAGCTGATACATCATGATTAGATTCTTCCATGTGTAAAATATCAATATCAATATCAATCTTGTGTCAGTTGAGCTATTATAGGATCCGAAACATGAATACATTTAATCACCAAAAAATAAGTTTCAAAATACTGTCAAATGAGAATAAGAGTACAATCACAAAATGTCAGAAATATTTGTATTACTCAATATTTGATATTACAAATGATTTGCAGTTATTTTTGTGGAGAAGTTGGTGAACGATACTGTAGCTTCCTCTTACTTCCCCATAAAATCACTGGCAGTTGAGTAGAAGGTTTATTGTGTGGTTTCTTGTATTCATTTCTCTCAAAGACATTTGGAGCAAAGCAGCACTAAGTTTTTCCAGTGAAGTTCCTCAGAATTTCTAGAACAAAAGCTCCCGAGAGGATTCTGCTGCAACTCCCGCTGTTCCTGAAGCTTTAGGGTAAAGTTCACATTTATATGAAGAAAAAAGAAAGTCTCCATTTGAGAAAAAATATATAGATCACCATATTATTATTACATATCTAAAAAATGTCAAATTTGTAAGAAAATTGTCATGGTAGGCTATTTTTAAAGCCAAGTAGAGATCTGTAATTATTTGGTAGCTCATGACTTTTAACAGAGATGCAAGAGCCTTGAATTTTTCACCGATGGTAGTCGACTTTTTTCCACACTGTGTTGAATTCCTAAAGCTGCACACACACACAAACAACCACATATTTTCCTTGAGTGTATGCCTGCGTGTTGCAGTAGTAAGACCCGGAAGGAAGTCGGGATCCCAAAAACACGAAACACTCTGCGCTTGTCCAAATCATGAGCGCGGGAGAAGCCACAAAGGTTGTTTGTATCCCAGTGAGCGTTGGCGGTGGGGTGAAGGGTTGTGGGTAAAGCTCACAGTTGAGGTTCCCAGCCAACTTGGCACGCCTTTTCAACTTCTCCTCGCCCGTCTGTCTTTTCATTGTGCGGACTAACAAATCTTGTGAAGTGTTGCACTGTTGTCCAATTATAACCTGTTCATTCAAACATCGTTTTCTGTTTCCTCTGAAAATATCTCTATTTCGGCCAGAGTAGTGCAACAAACAGCAGATGAGATGTCTTAGATGAAAAAGAGAATTTTACTGCCTTGTTTTAGGCGGGAAAACGCATTTAAATTAACATTGACACACATTTTCAAGACAAAAATCTGAATTAATCATTCAGATCATATATCAAGCTAAAATGCAAAATGTTCTCTGGTAACAGCTTTATGTCATTTTAAATTGAATATATTTGGGTTTTGGACTGTTGGTTGAAAAAAAACAGGCAACACTTTGGGCTCTGCATATTTGTAATGAACATTTGTGACTATTTCTTAATATTCTCAAGACGAAAAGATTATCAAAAAAAGTGGCTGAGAGTAAATTGATGATAAACAAATATCAGTAGTTCCACTAGAGTCAACTGCTTGATTAACTTAGCTTAAGACATTTTATAAACTAATCTATAAATCAAAGAAATCACCAATAAAATAATCCATAATGGCAAAAATCATTAGCTGCAGCTCTAACAACACAGCTAACATAGTTATTGCTCACTCCTTTTCATTCCCTACTCCTCCCTCCTCCCCCTGCAGTTCACACCAGCGGTCATTTTAGGGTGTCAAGGGCCTCGCACTTGGGGTTTTGAGAGGTGGGCCCTCAATTAGTGAGCCACGCGTCCTTTGGAAGAAAGAGGAACTCCGTGAGGAGTCCTTAACGACTGGCCTCTGTTCACTCTGCTCCGACCCCGGGACCTTGGGGTCACAGGCCACAATACACTCCCATCTGGGGCTGTGTTATCGCTTCTATGATGAAGGGAACGGACAGCAACCCTCTGCATTCAGGCCGAGCTGCGTGACGCTATTGAAGGCCTGAGAACGGCGGTCCGGCTCCAACACCTCTGTGAACATCCGCCCACTTTTATGAATTCAACTTCACCCTCTGATTAGGTTCGAAATGTGGATCAGTCTTTTTTAATTGAGCTGGACCCTAAGGGAGAAAGGTTGCACACATATACTGCACAACAGGGTGCCTGGAGCATCTATAATCCTGTATGTTTGGCCAATGACCAGCACTAATGTGGGTCTGATTTAGGGGAGAATGCCTTGCTCAATGGCACATTGCTGGGAAGGAAAAGTGCTTCCCATTCACCCTCATGTGAAACTGCTCTCATGTTTTGGAAGTCTGCATTAAGAGGAGTGCTGATTTAAAATTCAAATGATGGAAAGGTTTTTAGTGCATCTAATGCTGATCCTAAACTTACTATTAAGTGATTACAATACTACACTAAAGCAGTGGTGGAATACAACCAAGTACATTTCATAAAGAACTGTACTTAAGTACAATTATGAGGTACTTAAGCATTTCCATGTGCTACTACATTATACTTCTACCCCAAAACATGTATTTGATAACTTTAGTCATGTGTTGATTTAACTATGTATTATTAATCTGGAAATAAATGATTCTAATGTTGGCAATTCTGCATAATAAGTACTTGAAGTATATTTTGATGCTGATACTTTTGTTACATGTACTAGGTAAATGAATAGAGGACTTCTTCCACCACTGCACCAGGGTTAATAATGCAGTTTGGTTCAGTTGGAGCCAAAAGGGAGGTCTTCAAATCCCTTACAATCCCAAACCTCAAAAATATTTAATTAACAATCAGATAAAGCAGTGGATGTTGGACATTTTTGCTTAAAAATTATAGCCAAATGCTATCCATTGATGATAAAAATGTATTGTAAAATGCATAACTGTCTGAAGTATAACACAGACTATAGGTTGTAGGTGTAACCTGATGGATTGTTCTCATACAGCTGCAAACTATCTCATCAATTTTCTTCACTGACAAAAGACAGGCCCCTCATTTTTAATGTAGTAATAAAAGGCTTGTGTCATACACAATAAAGAATAAGAGCACATTCAAGTGTACAGTGAGTAAGTGGGGATACTGTCAGGTAAGGAGGTTGGGAAGTGTGTAGAACAAAGGGTTGGCACTTCTAATAACGTGATTGTGTCCATTTGATACATAACACACAAGAATAATATTCAATGCTGAAGTATAGAAACAGAGGTAACAAATATTTACCCGCCATAAAATGTAACTGATGGAGTGTTTGCCGTTGTGGATCTCACTGAGCAACACATCTTACTAACAGCTTTGTTTGTTCCAGCCTTTCTTCTCTTAACGTGGCAGTGATACAAATATTTTGTCTGGGCTCAGATGTTATATCAAACACTTCACTGTTCCTGACATTTTGCCATCACGTTGCTACAGTTCCAACAAATCATGGACCACTGATGCCATCTGGTGGCAGAATTACCGTGGCCGCTGCTGTCACTGCAGAACCCCTGCTGATTTGTAGCTGCTTTGGGAACAGATTCAAGTTAAACTTTTTAATTACACGCAGGGACAACAAGGCCTCAGTTAACTAGTCATTTTTGCATTCTAACATCTTGTCTGTGTGATAAAATAAATGGTTTGAGGAGAGACAACAGCTGGCTCAGTCAGCTGCTGCAGGTAGGTACGAGTTGACGTTAACACAAACAACTGTGTTCAAATGTTCACCTGGTTCTCTTCCTTATCACTGAAGGTGTCCCGGATGTACACTTGATAACTTTACCGCAACAAACACGCATTTACAAACTCAATACTTACATTCTGTGTTTCTCGTGTTTTTCTCTTAATCTCCCTCAATTTCCTGGTCTGAGTGACGAAACCGTGACGCCACATGTCTGCTGTTTGTGGGCAGGTGTAGGCTTACACCTGCATGACCTTAAATACCTTTTTGTTGTTGTTGCTCCTTGTTGCTTCTACATTTATAATGCTTTTAGGAAATATTCATTAAATGACAACTACAGTTATTATTTTCTATTTTAGGCTAACAATCCGTTTTTATTTACTTCTACTAATTTTAGTTTCGGTATAAAATTATAACAAAGCTCATTGACGTTTATTTTTCACTGTTTGGAAGCACATTTAGGAGTTTAATCACTATCTTCCACAAGGATTTCACCAAAATCCTCATTAGGTGCCACATTACCGTTTTCTGTTGACACAGACCAGATACTAGCTACAGACTTTTCTATCCATCAGTAAAAAACATTAAAATAAAAAATATATATCCAAAGGGGGTTTCTGCTGTTTTGTTAGTCATGAGAGTGCTGGATGTCTATGAAATGAAGCCTGCACACAGTGCCAAGGGTAAAATATGAGAAGAATTTATTCTTTGCTCTGTTCTACAAAACTTTATTACAACATAAAGCTGACGAACAAAACTGTGTCTGCTGGAAATAAAAGGTTTCTCTAAGGAGAATGCGGACAGCAGTAATCACTGTGTGTTCATGGATATAATTATGTACAGTACTTATTGACTACTTCATAATTGACTTTGTGCTTTGTAATCATTCGATTCTTTGAGAAAGCAGGGAAAACATCTCTAACGAAGACGTTTCTAAAGACATAGAGCACCATTTTTATAAAAAGATTCCATTCCATGACTGTAATTTGGAGTTCCCACATTTACTATATTTCTTCTTTCTACTTTAACCTATTTTTCACTCTGCTAGCACTACATTAAACCACAATACAGTAGAAAATATTCTAAAGGACATCAAAAACTAGGAGTGTGTAACTCCATAAAAAGAAAAGAAAGCCTGTATGTGCACTGGGCTTCTTTGCTGAGAGGAAGCTTCAGTTTGTATCTATATGAGTCTGTGGTTCATATTGTCCTGTTTAAGCGTTCATTGGTGTAAAAGCATTTGATTCTTGGCACCTTGTCATGTTAAAACAACAGAATTTGAGAGGGAAGACAAGGAAGGAAAGCATGGCTGGCTTTTAAAACTTGATGTCCCAGTACTGTGGTGTCTCTTTAGTGGCTTCAAACTCGTCTTCAATGGCAGCAGAGTTGCCGTTGGTCTGTGACGTCACTTCAGGGTGTTGGGTTGGGCCTCCGGCCTCTGAAAGGTAATTCAATCAATCTATTCAGACTGGTCAAATAATTATTTTCCATTTTTTCTTTTTGTCATCAAACTCCATTAAAAAGACTAGGGATGCAACAATATGACTTTTTAAGTCCCGATACAGATACCAGCCATGTGTTAGGCTGTCTCTCAACACTTTCAGACTTCCCACCCATCTGTGGCACTCAGATGGACATCTTTAACAGTGGGTCACAGTATAAAATAACATGAAAATGTCACTCAGTGCGAAGGTGTGGCGCTTGTAATAGTTTTTGGTCAAAAGTGAAGCTCTAAGGTACACAGGAATAAGAAACTTTGGATACACCACTATTATTGTTAGTAGGATAAATAGTTGGTTTTGGACTTGTCAAGGGATTTTTTTGATAACGTGAAAAAAAAGAATACCACCAGAACCCTTTAAATATGAAAATGATTAAATGACTTGTGGCAGCTGAGACATATTGAATGTATCTTAGATAACATGCATCAGCCTCACAGTCACTGTGTCGCTTCATATCTGACTTATAGTACAGGAAGAATACTCTGTTAAGTTGAAACTTAACAGAATTTCATGAAGTTTTTCTAGAAATAGATTTGTTTGTCAGGGTTATGATAATCTTTTATCTTACCAGGGATGCACAGGACCTGGGGCCTCTCCCACCTGCCTCCAGACAGACACCTGATCAGAGGAGTTAATCTCTGCTGGAAACCTTGGGCGCAGTGATAACGCACAACTGCGTTGGTCTCGTATCTCTGTCGACCTTTCCCAAAGATGGAGGCGTTTCGGACCTTGGGTGGTGGACCACATGAGGCTGTTGGAAGAGTTGAGACAAGTCGAGTCCTCATTGGGGCTGATGTATGATGGTGTAACAGCCCAAAATAACCACAAGAGGGAGTTGAAACCATTAATGAGGAGCTCTAACTGTCTGGTTTCTATTACTCACAGGTTCCTTTCTTGCAGGTATATGACAGGTGGTAGTTGCAGGGTACGTCACTCCATCGTCCCTCATCGTGCCACACCATCACCACGCAGTCTTCACCAGACAGAAAATAGCTGTCAGGCTGCCCTTTGTACCAGTTCTCATACAGCTGTATGCATGAAGAGGAAAAACATGGGTTGTAAATTGTAATAATAATAATTAATCAGAATCAGAACATGGAGAAGTAAATCCACAATATTAAAATGGTTCTTCACACTTATTTCCTTATTATTTATGAAGTAGTATATGATAGATGTCGCACAACTTTGGAAGTAATTCAATACCGTTTTTAGTAAACTGTGAGAAATCATAAAAGGGGCATTAAATAAGTCATCACTCAGCCTGGCTGTTTTCCCAAAGCCTAAAATCAAAGTGAATGTGTGATCTTACCAAGGGGTGTATCAAAATTACACACAAATAATGATGGAAAAATGAGAATTCTAACATATCAAAGGAGAACATTCCAATTATCTATTAAAGAAGAGGCTACTCCCACCATTCAGTATTGAACTTCCTTAGAGATATAGCTCAAGATATTGGGAAATATACTTATTTATGTAGTTTTACTTGAGTCGTAAAATCAGTGGAATGCCCCTTTAAAGTTCTTCATTTCTTTATAATATTAAATTGATTTGGATACCAACGTTTCTCTCCTGTGATGCACTGTGTGGTGTTTTGTTGCTCACATATATGAGTGGATTTATTTTGTATGAGCTCAGTCACACTTGTGGTTTCTTATATTGCTCACCATCGGGTTGCCATCAGACCAGCGGAAATGATCCTCAATGGTTTTATCATTCAAACCGGTCCACTGGTATTCTTTGTAGTTGTCTGGGGAGGAAAATAAGTCAGTTATGTTCAGTCCTCAAGACACACTTGTACAGGACAAAGCAACGTGTTCAACCTACTAAACCTACTGTTAATGTAACTCTGTTCCTCAGGGGTTATGACGGACACCAGATGACCTCCCAGCATGCGACAGTGCTGCTCTGCGACCTCCCAGCTCAGGCGCTGGCTGAAGTGTCGGTAGCAGAAACCGTGGAACTTGTCCCAGCCTGGTTCACATCGCTCCAGGTCTGAAAACATCACAGAGGAGGGGAAGAAACAGCTTCTTAACTTGTTTGGCAGACACAACAGAAACAATTTCCACTGCAAGAAAGCAGAGAGCTCACCGGTCTGACAGAAGTCTCCTCCATATGATGGCAAACAGAGACATTGAATCTGCCCGTCCCAGTCAGTGCAGGTGCCTCCGTTGAGGCAGGGGTCGTTCACACAGGCAACTGGAACAAAACAGAGGACAACTTCAGGTAATTCTACTGCTGAAACTACATGAGAGCGCAGTCCACAGTATTTTATTATCTATTATTGTGTTTGAAGTATAAATATCAGCATAAAAAAAGGATTTGCTGCATCAAAATATTTGAGAAATGAAGATTGAAGTTAGAGGATGCAGTAATTGCAACTGCACATGTGTTCCAGTAAATTATACACATTTATAGAGATATATTAATATTAGCAAATCTAATAATCGTGTTATACTGAAGGCCATCAAAAGGACGCGTTGAAGCACCGGGAGCCAACTGCCAGCAGAGGACAAACGTCAGTGTCAAACTCCTCAGGTCTTCTGTCTTCTTTGGTACATCTCTGATACCTGTCTGCTTCTTCTTACACTCTTCATTAACAAAAAACACTTTTAAATGGTACTTGTGTAAGGTGGAGCCTCAATGATGCCAAATATAATTACACAAAGACTTAAAGGGACAGGTCATTTAAAACCGCAATACATTTTCCCTTTTCATAACCTGGTCTACTCTATCCACAACATTTCAGTTTGATTTCAGTTCGGAGCTACATTCACCACATCACATTACATTGAATTGTAATTTGTTTCTTGGATTTAAGGTGCCAAAACATTACACTAAAAAGAACTCCAAATACAAATAGACACAATTACACATGACAATCAACAGACCTTGTTGTGATCTGTTTATGCATACCATCTGTACAGTATATGAAACATGTTTAGGGATTTACAAGTGCACAATAGTGATAGAAACGTTGGTGTTGTTGGGTCTTTCCAGTCATGATTTCTTGGTGTTTAACATCATTTTTACTCGCTAGCGCACCCTGTAATTCACGTAGGCCATCACGTCAGTCTAATAACCTTTGTACATTTGTTTTACACTTGCATCTCTTCTTTTAAAAATGCTTGCACAGGACCATCATTCACAATTTGTAAACTATGTTAAGGAAACAGATTTAATCACAAGAAAAGTGGCCTGTCATAAGGCAGTTGTTTCGAAAAAAGCCTTGTAGTTTAAAGTCCTGAAGAAAAAGAGAGGATGGAGTTTAATTTTCTAAAACTGTAAAAGAAGGCAAAATAGAGGCATGTGTGTCCAAACTGAAATTAAACATTTTACAAGTAGATTTGGTTGATTTGCTTCCTTTGACACCCTATAAACAAGAGCTCTGTGGTGTCTGTAATTATACTGCACACTCACATCTTTTCCTTGGATCAGTGTGTGTGTATGTGGAAGGTCATAACTGTTTTACACAAGTCAAATGAGAATCATGTGCACTCAAAGTAAAACCCTCATTCCGTTTTGCTGAAAAATACACAAGTATAAAAAAATTAAAACCTTATGCTGTGACCCATGTTGGCATCTCTACTTCAATTTTCTGCACAGAAAGAAGAACCTTAGTTGAATTCTCAGCCCTTTCTGCTGAAATGTCTGCATGATTTCTCTGTGTTAGTGTAGCTTCCTCAAACAGCACACGACAATAAATTGCCTATAGGTAATTACGTGAGGTTAGTAATTTCTATTACTGAATAAATGATTAGTGGCTTTCCTGTCTTAAAGTGCTGAGCCTCCAGTCTTTTATCACCTCGAATAGTCCAATATTTAATCACCACTGCTCACCAAATTAAAGCTTAATGGAGGCGCCGAAGTTGAGATTAAATGTGAAAAATTTGCAAAAGCGTTTGCACGCTCCAATCAGTGCAATATTAATTTACTGACACTGCAAGCTTTCTCTGTCTGAAAGCTTGTCTCAATAAATGAATATTTATGTGGATGCTTTTCCTGTTTTTTCATCACCATGACTAATATCATGTTGACAGTAAAAAAGTGTTTACGCAGTGATATATATACAATACTGTATGTATAGTTGCAAAACAAATTGTACCTGCAACTTTAGATTAACTGGAGCTTTTTAGTAGTCTTGAGTTTAAATGTGAGATCATTCAGCAGATGTGAATCAGTGTGACGTACAGCATCACCATCATGTCGAATACAAAAAGATAATATGACCCCTGTTAAATGAAAATACATTGTTCATCACTCAAACGTATTGTATCAGCTTCTACTGCTTATTTTGTAGTTACAATTTTAACTATCTTGTAAAAATACATATCCTCTTCTGTCCTTTATGTTTTATTAATAGACTTAACTGTCATACCTCTAGATACCATGTCCCAAATGTCAATGCAAATGTGCTCAGTGAATTGCTGGTAAAGAGAAACTCTGTTTTGTGATGCAGAACACTAAACGCATCTGTAACGATGGAGCGAGCCTCATGCAGTGCCACTCTGGTTTGTTTGTGCATCATTTTAAGTTCTGTTCTGTTGCTGTATGCACTTTAATGAGCACATGCGTTTTCCTATAATGAGATGTAACATATAAATAAAATCCCTAGTCTTGTTGTCTGATTAAAAAATTTGACGTGTAACTGCTAGCTGTGTTGAAAAGCAATTCCTTGGATGTATGCAAATGCTACGGAAGCCAATTTCTGCAGGAAAAAAAACAAAAAAGATGACACTGCAAAATAAAATGTAATATACTCACGATAAGTCAAAATGATAAGATACTAAGGCAACATTCTGAGTGAGTGATAGCTTTTTTTACTTACCTTTAAATTTGTATCATGCCTAACTTGTTCTTTTAAGGTTTTCTTGGCAGACATTGGCTTCCACACAATGCAACACACATTTTTAGTAGTAGGAACAAATAAAACATCTTACAGTTGACTAAAACTTTTGAGACTTAGAACAGATTCATCAACTGATGGTGAGACAAAAATTTGTTGATTTTATCATTCTTACACCTAAATACACAATGCTGTACAAATCTTGGAAAATCATGATTACACAATAAAACATGACTTGAGAAACATTAATGACCCATAAAGTAGATTTAAAACAAACTTCTAAATGCTACCACTCAACAACAAATGAACATTTGTGCTTATCAACATAATAAAACGTTGTGCTGTTTAAAATAGCAGTACAAGTCTACAAATCGGAGGAAAAAGATTTTAAACACTTTGATGTCCAGTTATGAATTAAATATAAAACGTTATTGCTGTTGCACTTATCAATGCTGTTGCGTTCAACATAATCGCTGTTACATTCCAGAGAAAAGTCACTTCATCAAGTTACTTCCAGATTACTGCAAAAGACGACTGCAAGTTAGCGAGAAGAAAGTAATTATTTGCACTTGGTGCATAGATGTATTATTTACAAATAAAATCTACTGATCAAGATAATGAGAAAAGCTTTACTAACGCTATCACCAAAACCATCCCTCTTGCAGAAAATCACTGTAGAAGAAGCACTGAAAGACTTATAAACATACCGGTATATTACAGTACTTCACAGAAGTCAGTCTTTGGATGAGGAAGAAAACATCATGCACAACAAGAGTGGACTGTTGACAAAAGTCAAATGGGAGCTGTCCCAGTGTGAGTATCTCGAAGAGGAGGTGGGGGGTCACAAGGAGAGAAGTGAGGAGCATTTTAAGGGGAAGCGGGAGGAGTCAGAAGGGTGAGTGGGCTTTCTGAGACAACAAGTGAAACAAACGTGGGAAGTCATTTGAAAAAGGAGGGGAGGTGTTTTACAGAAAATGGAGTAAAGGCAGGTTGAGGACAGATCGGGGATTTTAGTGCATCATTGCGTCGAGTAGCAAGAGGAGGGCGGTTAGGCTGATGAGAGTGGCTTTAACATTACCTGAAGCTTTCCCTGTCCCGCCTACAGCTGCCCTCTCATTGGGCAAGATAAGAAGGGTGGGCGGCTGGGTGAGACTAAACTCAACATCCACCAGACCTTGATCCACTGGTGGTATGAAGGTTGACACCTTCCGGGGCTCAGCCGTCTTGTGGAACACATTTGGTGCTGAGGTGGTAGGGGTCCAAGTGCGTCTGGACCAGTGTTTGGTGGACGTGATGGTGGTCTTTGTGGTAGCAGCAGTGGGCTTTGTACTCGAGGAGGAATCTAGAGCTGCTGTGGAGGTCATGGGGGAGTTTTTTCCGCTGTACTCTAGATCACTCACAGAATCGAGTGGAAAGACGGTAAAGTCCTCCTCAAAGGTTGGGGCAACGTTAGCTTCTTCTTGAAGGATTGGGGCAACATTCACTTCTTCTCCAAGAGTTTGGGCAACATTAACTTTTTCCACAAGGGTTGGGGCAACACTAGCTTCTTCTCCAAGAGTTTGGTTAACATTAACATGTTCTACAAGGGTTGGGGCAACACTAGCTTCTTCTCCAAGAGTTTGGGCAACATTAACTTTTTCTACAAGGTTTGGGGCAACGCTAGCTTCTCCTTCAAGGGCAAGGGTTGAAGCAATATGAGTTTCTTCTTCATGGGTTGGGGCAATGCCAGCTTCTCCTCCAAGAGTTGGTGCAACATTATCTTTTTCTTCAAGGTTTGGGGCAATGCTATATTCTTCTTCAAGGATTGAGGCAACACTAGCTCCTTCTCCAATAGTTGGTACAACGTTATTGTTTTGTTCAAGGGTTTGGCCAACATTAACTTCTTTTATAAGGACTGGGGAAACGTTAGCTTCTTTTTCAAGGGTTGGAGCAACTTTAGACTCTTCTTCAAGGGCAAGGGTTGGCGCAATATTCATTTCTTCCTCAAGAGTTGAGGCAATGTTTGCTTCTTCTTCAAGTGAAAAGAAAACTTGACCTTCAAGAGTTGGGAAAACTGTCATGTCTTCTTCAAGGGTTGAGGTAACTGTAACTTCCTCTTCAATGATTCGGCTAACTTTAACATCCTCTTCATTGGTTGGATCAAGTTTAATGTCTTCTCCAAGGATTGCAGTAACTGTAACAAGTTCATCTCCACTTGCCTCTTCATACCCAGTGGTCGTAGTATCCAAATACACTCTGTAACCTGATGTTCGATACCGTGCTGAGGAATGAGTAGGCAACTGAGAGGAGGTGGACCCCTCTGGAGACTCAGTGGTAGCTAAACTTAATCCAGAAACAAGGTTGTCTTCAGACATTGTCGGGTGCAGCTGTTTTTCTTCGCTTTCCAGAGTGACTGTGTCTTCAATTTCTAAGCTTGTACTTCCCTCCTGTCTAGAAATGGAGGACTCCCACAACTGTGGTGCTGTGGAGAAGATATCCAAGCCCACTTTGTCGGAATGGCGTGACCCAGATGGAAGGGTCAAATCAGGGAGTGCTGTCCGAGGCTCAGTAGAAGCACTGCTAGCCGAAGTAGAAAGTGACGCATGAGTGGTGAAGCCGGAAGTAGAAGAATCTGATGTGTAGATGAAGCTGACTGCTTCCATGTCAAGGTCACGCTCTAAAAAAGAGTACAACACATTTTTAGTGTTGTAAATATTAAGGGAAAAGTTTGTTCATTTTGGGAAATACCCTGATTTTCTAACTTGCCAAGAGTTCGATGAGAAAACCGATACCTCCCTCATATCTGTATATATGAAGCTACAGCCAGCAACCACTTAGCAGAAAGACTAGAAACAGGGTGAAACAGCTAGCTAGGCTCTGTCAAAATAACCCTTTCAGCACCTCTAAAGCTCACTAATAAACACGTTATATCCAGGTTGCGTAATCCGTACAAAAAACGGAGTTAAAATATCAAGTTGAATTGGGAGGTGTTACAAGAGATTGTATGCTGAACTACTTCTTAACCAGCTGCTGTAACTATATGATGTCTCTGCTGGTTGTCTGGCACCCTCACAGTGACGAAACTCCCGTAAGTCACTCCTTCCAGCCAAGAAATAGGCCGCCACATAAACCCCCTTAACACAGAAACGTGCCATTCTTACACATCATTTTTCGACTGAATCAAAAACAAGATATAACATGTTATTTCGTGAGTTTTAGAGGCTCTAGTAGCTGGATAATATTATCTTCGGACTGAGCCAGCTAGCTGTTTCCTGTCTTTATGCTAAGCTAGCATAACTGTCAGTTGATTTGTAGCTTCATATTTACCGTACAGACACAAGAGTGATATTAATCTTCTCATCTAACTCTCAAGAGTGTGAATATGTTTATTTCCCAAAATGTTGAACGATTCATCCAATATATTGATCAGTGTTCTTTTGTAAGACTTAGAAACAAAAAATGATGCTCAACATACCTTGAGAAATATCTCCAGAACCATCTAGATGGGCCCACAATGAGGTTAGCTCCATGATGGTAGATTTTGTAGTTTGTGCTGGTTGTGTAGTAAGTTCTTCTTTTGAGGCCTGAGTTGAGAGAAACACCTGCACAGGATTTTCTACTGTTTCCTCCTCCAGCTTCACCTGAACCATGGGGTCAAGGGTCATAGAGGTTACCTCCCAGAGACTCTCCTCTTGAGTATGATTGCTGTCTGTCTCGCTGTAATTGGCTTGGAATCTGTCAAAATCCAAAATGGTCTCTTGCATTTCTTGCAAATCCTTTAGCCTTGCAGATGTATTCTCTTCAGGATGTGTATCTGGAACTGTCTGGTTATGTGTGTGAGGTTCATATGATGATTCGGGAAACCCTGTGGTGTTTTCAGGCTCAGATTGGTAAAAGGTGAAGTTCAAGTTGTGGTGGGAATATGTCTCATTGTAAACACTGGGCAGTAATGACGTGTTTTGTGGTGAATCATAGGTTTCTGTGGTGCTGAAAGTGGTGTTCATCAGTGCTGTAGGATGCTGGGAGCTCATTTCTGTAGGAGATGAAGTTTCATTCAATCCCTGGAGGAGGTCCAATATAGGTGTTGTCTTTATATCGGGCGCTGTTGTGTCTGATACAACTGTTGGGTGCATGTCAACCAGGTTTTCCTTAGAAGAGAAAAAGGGAAACGATTCGAGCACGCTTTGAGCTTTGAGCTCCACCTGTTCTACATGATGGTTTAGTTGCAGCTCTTGATCTGTTTCCATAAGGATTACGACATCTTGTCCAATGTCCTCAGGCTCTGTGGCCACATTGTCCATGGGAGAGTCGGTGGGAGTATTTCTATTATCTGTAGAGGACAGATAAGGGATTCAAAATATGATTCAAGAAATATACTTGAATCTTTGATTCAAACAATTTGTCCAACTCCTTACAGTTACATTTACATACACATACATTGTAAATACATTTACATTTACATGTACCTGAATGTCCATTTTTGTATGCATATCCAATGCATTTGTGACATGTAAATTAAATTCTATTTTATGTACAAGAACTTTATGAGAAACTAAATACTCACGTCTGAAACAATACACGTCATGAAGGCTGGACGGCTGTGGGAAGCCAGTTTGGTTGCTGAAGCGGTAGAGGGTTTTGACGCCTGGCCGAGTTCCTCCGCAGCGCTCTCTAGGGACTATGATGGGGTAGCGCGCACTGCCATCAGACAGCCAGCCAGGGCTGCAACGATCCAGACCTTCACTCCATGCTAAGTACAGCTGAGCTGTTGTAGCCAACTCTGCTCCTGCTGCTCTGCAGTATGATTGTGCCTCATCAAATGACAGCTGCTGTGGGATGGAGTCATGAAACACCTCCCCTACAAACACAAAATATTCTAAATGTTTACAATTCTCACACTTCGTTAACATAAATAATGCCTGATATATTCTAGAATCAGAATTGGCCTAAAAGATGAGTCTGGCTTTAGTCATAGTAATAGGTATCATTATTTATACCATCAGTTTCCTCCACATAGCAGTAAACATCAAACAGATCATCTGGATCCATCGTCCCGTAGTTTCTCACGCCTGGTTGGCCATCCATGTCTCCATAGCAACCTTCACGGGGCACTTGGATTGGGTACCTGTCCGAATGGAAACAATCCGCATTTCTGATGAAAACTTTACCAAACTTGAATTTAAATTCTAGAGGAGATCCTGTATACTTTACATATATACCAAACACAATTCAGGTTGAATTTTGGGGAGTTGTGACTGAAAGGTTTAGAATGTTTTTTATTAAACAAGGAGGTGCAGCCATTACAGTAAAGCATAGGTTTGAGCTGAGATCTGATGAGATACCTGACAGACTGGTCTGCCAGCCAGCCTGCATCACACTGCTCGTAGCCATCATAATAAGCCGCCAGCAGCTGGTCAGGAGTCGTGATTTGTGCCCCGATGGCTTCACAAGCCCTCTGCGCCTGATGGAAGGAAAACGCATAGCGACCCAAAGCATCCCTGTAGTGGAATACAACACCTAAACACACACAAATAAGCACATATTTAAAGTCAGATTATACAAAACGCTCGTTTACCAACAGTGTATTACCAGTAAATGTCAATTTATGATGTAGGATTTGCCCATCAATGTAACAAAATGACTCAAATGTTTTGTAACAGGAAGATTACAATCAAAGCAGATCATATCCTGATGATGATCACATCCTATATCACCTTTATATTCATCTGAATCTTTCCAAACTTCAGTCACGATGATCCACGTGTTTTATTTAGTTACCTTTCACTTTGAGTTGCACGAGGTCGCTGGCGTCCTCCAGGCCTTGCTGCACCTCACAGCGATAGTGGCCCGAGTCACTGGAGCGTAAATCTCCCAACCACAGCGACAGATCATCGGGGGAGGAAGTGTAGTTGAGCCAGGCAGCGCGGTCTCTGTATGCCTCGTTGACCTTCACTCTTTGACCACGCGCCACCAAGATCTGCGTCTCCACACCACCGGACACCACAGTCCACTTGACCCGCGGTGCAACAGGGGAGGAAGAGGACAGAGACACCAAGCAAGGGATGGAGATGGAGCTGCCCAGTGAGGCGGAAACAGGACCTGAGTGAGGGATGTTCACCTGGAGCTGCTGGACATCATCTGCAGGAGGGTGGGGGGGGGGGGAATGATAGAGCATGAAGAACAGAGTGGCATGTGGGAATGGCGATCTTACTTTTAAATGCACCTTTGTGTTATTTGCTTTTAACTGAATGTGAATGAATACTGACAGTTAGAAATAATGGGAAAATGGAGACGCACCAAATGTTGATGATATTTGTGTGGGGAAGGCCAGAGTGAGGCGGCAGACTGCAACGAGAAGTGGAAGTATTTGGACATGTCTATGGAGATAAAGAGGAAAACACAAGATGATATTATCATTAGATCAAATTTAACAGACATAAAGATCAATAAAACGTTCCTGTTGAAAACGCAGGGAAAGAAAGGACACAACAATGACAGATGATTTCTCCTTATCAGTTTCCAATTTCACACGTTTAACCTTTAATAGGCAGAGTGATTGCAGGTACTGGAAGTCATGTATTGTGTTGATTCAGCTCCACCTGATTTATCTTAATATTAAAGGTCACAAACTGCACACCTTTGTGCTTCCTTCACTGCAGCAGCCAGTACTGTGGTTTTAGCTTTACACACGTATTGATATGCAGCTGAGTGAAGAGACAGATTCAAGGTTACTCTGTAATGCTCTGACTTTGAGCCATTTATTATTTGCATTTGATATGATTATGCTTTTGTGATACTGTTTAGTTACTGTTGAATTGTACCACTACAAATACATAACATATGTGGACTAAATACATATGTATATATGTGGACTTGTGTAAAAAAGCCATAAAACGGAGGGATTTAGACCTGAAGGTTATCTTAGGAGAAGAATGATATATACAAGTTCACCATAAAATCTGCCTTTGGGAGTAGATGTAATTAAATCAAGACTAAGAGGCTACAGTCATGCTAACAGATCTGTGAGACTGTAGGTAGGCACAGTAGTGCTTTAAGATAAATACTCATACTCAGAGGAACATTAAGGTCTCTACATGTTGTATTATGGCAATCCATCCAATAGTTGTTGAGATATTACAGTCTGAATTATAGTGGTGGAAAATAAAAATAAAGATTATACCTGTAATGGTCATACTTTGTAAAGATATAAAACAGCATTTGAATTATACTAAGAGGTGTTTAATATTTGACCTTTTCTTGCTGCTTTGAATGGAGTGGAACATTTTTATCTATTTTATTAGTATAGTTGGCAGGGACAATGTTCATTGATCAACATAAAAAAGAAGAATAAATAAGCCAAAATTAGTCCACAAGTCTAATTTCCATCTGTTTGTCTCTGGCCTGATGCTAAAAAGGCACCCTAAAAATAGAATAAACTGACAGATCTTATGAAATAATGTCAAAAACACCTCTCAGTGTAATGCAATAAAATGCAACAGAGACTCAAGCATCCTAAATGAATATAAAGTTGAACTTCTCCCAAACATTTTCAACAAAAACTGAATATCATAACTTCATAATGGTAGGATTTGTTGAAGGACTGTTAGACTGCATTAGTTTTAGCCAGGTTAGAAACTGACAACTGAGTTTGTATATTTTGTACAGATGAAGAAAATGATATTAACCAGTGTAAAACACTAACACATACAATGATATCTCGTATCTCAAAGCTCCACTATGAAGTATAAAGGGAAGCTGGGAGCACAGGCTCCTGACCACAAGCTAGTCATCACCTCCGGGAGCTAATGACATGGCGTCTCAGCGCAGCGGCATCCTGCCAGCTCTCCGTCACCAGTCTGGCCCTGTTATTAACCCAGCAGGCCTGGCAGAGCGCTCACAGTGCCCTCACACAACCTCCTGAAGCTGCAAATGTTCATTCGTCATTAAAAAAGCAAAAATGCCCAAAATTCAAGGGTTCCAGCTTTTCAAATGTGAATATTGGGATGTTTTCATGGTTGTTATGATTGTAAACTAAATATATTTGCATATTGGCCTATTTTATGGACAAGACAAGCCTTATGAAGATGTCAACTTGGGCTTAACAAAATTGTAAGAGGTAGTTTTCACTATTTTATGACACAAAGAAAAAGTACAACAAAATGTATTGAGTGACTGTCAGAGATATGTCATTATATCATTGTATCATTATGCATTAACATGCAATAAGTACTTCAATGTAGTTACTTTTGGGTGGCTTTTATTTATATTTTATTTCTTTTTTTGAACAGAGAAACATTAACGAGAGAGAGAGAGAGAGAGAGAGAGAGAGAGAGAGAGAGAGAGAGAGATCACATAGTATACATAAGGAGAAGAAAAGTAAAAAGTAATAATACTAAGGTCAGAACCACAGAAGTGAGCAAAAAGCTAAACAAGCATTGATAAGCTTTTCTGCGTCGGTATATCAAACACATCGGCACAAACACAGCTCGCTAACTTGTGTCAGATTAAATGGCCTTCTTTGATGGCAGAATAATTGTTGTCTGTTTCCTCAGCCAGCTGGGTGGACTCCACAGGGCTGGTATCACTATTAGTATTCTTGACGAGAAAACGTCTCACAAAAAGCGAGCAGTGGGCCAGGAGGACAGCTGCACACTATGCTTTCACTTCAGGCCGACTCCCTTACAAAAGGCCTCGGAGGGAAATTAAAGGACGGGCACTGGCACACTTGCTTGCTTTTTCTCCCTCCTTTCTCTCGCTTCTTTTCAAGGATGGAAAAGGAAGTTTCAAACCACTAAGAATCGTTCTGAAGCAGTCTTTGTACAAAAGGCCACATTAACACACTGCACACTGTTTCAAATGGTATCACTGCTGTGAGAGTGGGCTTGTGCATGAGCTGTGTTTGTGCATTCACACTGATGACAGAGGAGAAAATCCTGCTGCTGATTATTTTGAGACTTTTTTTAGATCATAAAGTCTTTTCGTCACCAGGCACTCTGTAGCTCTGCTCTTTGTAATGAGAGTAACAATGAAGACAAGTCAAGCTAAAAATCAATGCCACCCACTGCATTTACAAGTCTAGAAACTGCAGTCAATGCATTATTCACAAGAAGAACTAATCCAGTCTCCTCCTCCTGCAGAAACATACAAGTAAGCAAAAGAAGACTGACATCGGTCAAAACCACATTAGCCTCCATATCCTACCCTGTCAGTGCTGCACTGACAACTAAAGCTTGCTCACTACATCTCGTGGGTGGCCTCTGCAGTACTGCGTCGAGGTCATCTCAGGCAAACTTTTTTTCCCCTAACAAGCTGAATAATAACTCCTGATCTCAGTTTGGCCAGGTCAAACATACAGAGACAGTGAGCTCTTTGGAGCGCTGAGCTGGGACTGGATTTGGCAGTGATGAGTATGATAAAATACAGTAGGGATCTCCTAAAATGCACAGTAATTAGGTTTTAAAAGGTAGAAGTCCACTCTGGTATAGGTTTCTGTCTGCCACATGAGTGTTGCGGCTTTATTTCTACAAACATCAAGAAGGCTGTGGTTACATGGTACGGAGATCAAACTGAAGATACATAGGAATTAAGTGCAACATAGTTTACTTAAACAAAGATACAACTTTCTGATTTATGACATGATTTATAAGTTTGGTCTTAAAAGTTAATTTCATGGGCAGTTTAGGTAGTACTTTGGCACATGTTCTTTCTTACATTTAAAATGTGACAGTCGGCTCTCCTTACTCTCTACTTTATCCACTTTTATTACTAAGTAGAAAACTTCTGATCTAAAATCAAAGCTTTTCAGAAGTGGCTAGGCTAATGTAGCATTTGGGTCACTTGCATCATTTCTGTGCGACTTTGCCACCAACATCTGTGTCATGTCTTTTTCTTTAATTCTACTCTGAATTTTGAAAATCTGACTGCACAGAACATTTGTCTTTCAGAATTTGACAAATATTTTGCATAATAGAGCTTGGTTTATTTTATTCCTGCTTATCTAAGTCTATGTAGGTAAAGGTCTGATTTCTAGTCGACAAACAGATGTTAAGAATTCAACTGGGACAGATTAAAAGTGTTAAAAGAGGACAGAACAAGGATCAGATGCTCCTCCTCTGTATGACTGACACACCATAGACCAGATATTTCAAAAGCATCTACGCTGATGACAATTTGCCTAGTAACCTAGCACCAGAAACAAATCCCCCATGAATCTTCTTTACATAAAAACTGAAGTTCAGAAACAACCCAGATGTTGTGCATCATCTCAGTAATGTACACTGAGTTCTCCACAGCAAAGTAAACTGCCCTAACAGGGTCTATTCACTCAACACCACTCCTCCAACTCTCTGCACCATCAAACGTAACACCTCCACACATCCGATGAGCTGCTCTCACTCAAAGGGAACCTTCCCACGTCCCGAACCGCGTAGACATCTCCGATAAACCCACTGTCTGTCCCCCAACAAGATGACCAATTTGGAAAAGCCACCCAGTAGATGATTCACCACCCAACGTGCCTGGGAACGAGTCGAGGGATCAAACAAACACCTCATCTCAGACCTGACTCAGCAAATCCGTGGTCTGACCACAGCCAATGCTTGGCAAGCTCATTATAAGCCATGCAAAACCGTACATTGAGTAGAATGGGTGGCAATATTTTAACTACTAAAGTGCTTATTCAAGAACTCTTTAGTTTGAAGTCCACTATTCCGACACCAGCGTTCAATGATTCAAAATCCGCTTCATTGTCCCAACAAATCCAAACGTGGCCAGTGGCTACTGTAACACTCACTAGCTGGTTGACTACTACAGCATTTAGGATGATTAACTAACTATGTATAAGGAACCAAATGGCCTGACTCCAGTTTAGATTGTGGAATTTTAAACTCCATCTTCTTTGGAGACAGAACACAAAATGTATATTTAGAAACTTTAGAAACACAGACTTGTAATTATTTAATACAAGTGCAGTATTATTCTGCACAGAACAGCAATTGTACTGTGTTGCCCAACCTCATATTCTCAGGCTGAATTGCCATTTTGTTTTCACATTTTTTTTTAATAATTTATTGTGAAAAATGTAGTCACTGGAAAATATTGAAGATGTGGGCAACGATTCAAAAGTATAAACTTGAATTCATTCCGACTAGAACTCATTGTCATCCTGCCCAAGAACTGTTCCAACTTCATTCATTCTCCCTGCAGCTGTTTGGCCACCAGCTTCAACGTCATACCTGCTACCAGCAGTAGGTTCCCTTGTCCTGGCTGCTATGCAACATATGCCACACCATCACAGACAATTTATATATTATTTACTGAATTTCAGAGCATTTGTAAAATAGTGTGAATCTTCTCTACAGATATTCAGTGTTAATATGAGGGATAAGGTAAGTGACGTTTAATCAAGTGACACTTTACTGAGCATCTGCTTTTATTATATGATGTTGTGCATCATCAACACTCAACCAGCAAATTAAAATTGTAATGGTTTAGAATCTAGCCAAAGATTTCATTAGGTGGTCAAGGGCTGTGTTTGTTAACATTTTGATCAGAAATTAGAAAAGAACCATATCAGCGCTTTTGTTTGACGCGCTCCACTGACTCATATGAGAGCCACTGGACCATCAAGTGAAGGAGAGAAAATCCTGAAGTCAGCTTTCTCTCTTTTACTATATCTCTACCTCTCCATTAGTGAAATCTACCTGAACCCTTAAGACAAAAAAGCTGGCTTCTTGTGTCTCCTGCAGGGCACAGAAGCAACATCTCAGCATTCATGCTTAACTGCCAGAGGAAATGGCATTGCAATAAAAGAAACAAGTGCTGCAGTGGTGTTGCTTTCTATAAATGCAGAGGGCAGTGAGTTAATGCTGTCAGTTTTTCATCCAGTTTCACGGACATGTCCATGCTCACCTGTGTGAAAGAAATCATCACAACGCCTCACATAATCATGGGGACTGACGATGAGCAGCTGGAAGAGGCAAACAGTACATGCTCTTGTAAAACACAGTGGGAGGTTCATCTTGTGCAAGAAAACCAAAAAGAAAAAAAATCCGCAAAGCGAATTAGATGAAAGTTGTACTTAACTAAGTGCGTCAGTTCCAGAAATTGACATTTTCTGGGGAGAAAATGAACCACTGCTCGTAATTTCAGGACCTCCTCTGAGGACAGCAACTACTGCAAAGCAGCTAACTAGTAAAGAGAGACATTTTCTTAAATTACACCATAATTTAAAACGACTTTAAACTCAAAAGAACTTGGACCGCAGCAACTGCGTATCATTAGGAGAGCAGACCAAACACACACACACACACACACACAAAACCTACCGGCTTCTTGTCAGCAGCATTTCAGCGGATGCAGTATGGGCTGACTTCTCGGCTGTTAAAAGTCTTTTCTGTCAGCTCCGCTCAGCCTGCTGCAGTGCGACTGTCCTGTTGGGAGGAAAGCGGCTCTGGATGCTCTGCGCAGGTACGAGGGGAGTTGGGACTGCTGTCTGAACGAGTCCGACGCTTGGGGAGAAGAGGAGGGAGTTGGGAGAAAGTGAAGCCAGATATGAAATCCTGAACTGCCCACTTTTTCACCTAACAATCGGGATGGAGATGGCGCATGCCTGTCAAAGGGGATTGGGAGGGGTGACATCTAAAATAGCCGATGTTATAGGCTATGAAGTCAGGAGAGATGGCCTTTGTGTTATTTATTTATTTGATTCTTTGACAAATGCATTGAGCGTCATTTGGAGTCGTCGCAGCAGCAACACGGAGCTGCTGATTCTACTGCTGCTGCAGGTACTGTATTGCAGTCACCTCTTCTGGGGGAGGAGGGTGAGGGAGTGGAGAGTATCACCTCCCCTATAGCAGTTAAGTGGACTATTGGTCTTCTTAAATCACCTCGAAGAACTTTGTATGTATCACCAGCAGTTTGCAGCCCCCTGCAGAGGAAACAGTCCCTGTGCAGTCTGTCAGTTATCAACTTCAATCAGCAGGGTGTGTTTGACACCAGCATTTCATTTTAGACCCATAAACTCAATGCAGTATGTCCAGAAATAAACATAGTCTTTATTTACCAGCACCAAATATTATATTAGTTGTTGTTGTTGTTGTTGACTAATGGTGAATGATATAACAAGCCCAGTGTTCATATAAATGCTGCCGAAGATCAATAAAGCAGGCATGCCCGGTCCCATCCATGGTCAGCTTAACCTAGGGGGCCTCTTTGACCACGTCTCCACGCCACCCAATTTCTTTTCTCCGTACATCCTGTCATCTTCAAGTAAACATATTGAAGACATTGGAAATTAACACACAAAGCTAAGAGTGGTTAAAATTGGTCAACGTTGATCGCAGGATGAAAAGCCTGGTTTCACAGAGTTCACATGGGGCTAACGTCGCACACCTTCTGTCTCTCCTGGAGGACATTCACGGTGTTGCACTCATTGGTACAAACAATGTGACGGAAGTAGTTTAAATAATGAAAAAAGACCTTGAGAGAGAAATTCAAATCCTGCCGACTGTTTCAGTAATCACGCTGTTCAGACAAGCGCTTTGTTAGAAGCATATTGACACCTTTAACCTGTCAGTTGGGGCTCCGGGGCAGGTGTACACCCTGCTCAGTCAATAATCCAGCTCTGGTGCTGTCATCAGTGGGGATACAGCTGTGCCGAACCGACCAGAGTCTCACCTCTGTTAGTAATGTGGAAGATGCATAGCCCATTATGATTTACATACAGTTTATGTTCAGGGATCTCTTTGGCTGACATACGGTATCTTGCCATCTGTTTCTATATAACAGAGACATGCAGAGGACGAATAACGTTAAGGTAAGCGTGTACCAACGCCCTCTGACAGGGTGAATGGTGCTTTGTAAAGGTCGTCCTGTGGCTCGGCAGCAGCGGTTGGTGCTTCACACCTGAGGAATCTGACACCCAGATACCAGCAGGACTGTCTGGGAAGGAAATGTAAAAGCGCAGAGAGCAGACAGAGATCAGAGGCGGGCTTTATGGTCCATCTATGACCGACTGTCCCAGTGACCCAGACTGAGTCAAGTCCAGTCAGCAGTTGTGCTCACAGTAAGACGTCGTCCTCTCTGCTGTGATTTGTCTTCAACAGCAGGGTGGTATCATGAAAACAAAGGACATGCTTAGAACAGGAACTTCAATGAGTCGATCCAGGGGAGGCTTTCTTCACAACTCTTCCTGGCGTCTGACCTTTGACCTGACTGTAGAGTGGGACAAACGAGAGAATAACTTGCTGATGAAGATCTTGTGATCAGTCAGAAAGCTCCAGAACAGTTACTAAATGTGTGATGAGATCGTTTTTGAAGCTGCAGTGTTTCAGCCAGCGCAAACTCCAGCGCCGGGGGTCACAGCGAGCTGGTGGCCAGCGGGTCCAACCTGTGTAATGCCAGTAACAGAAAGATTGCATGTTAGACACAACGTGACTCTGGAACCCATTATTTCCAATGGCTAACGCTGTGCCACGATGGCGTTTTGCTGTCTTTTTTTTACCCTCTTGCTGAAATATCCACTTCTCAGAGGATTGTGGGTCAGAATGACCAGAAAAGCATGCTTGCTTCCATACTGCAAAGTGCGACCGAATGCAGTAACATCCTGGTATTGGGACATACTAAATATTTTTCTAGCCTACTAAATAGTATGGTAATATGGGTATTGGAACCCATAGTCTGAGAGGAAAAGTAAGAGCAGTGTTCTGCCTTCTTTTTCAGTTCCTAAACATAACATACTGAGGTCATATACAAGAATCCAGTGAGAGCGACTTAATTAGACCAAACACAGTTACAGTAGACATGCTTGCAAGCCGTGTCTCAGACCTGCATACAAGCTAATGTTACATTTTCCAGCAGCCTTCAAACAACCAGCCTATAATTAGACACTGTCATTATATTGTAGCTGAGCTCAGATCATCAAGTGAGTCAACAGCAACACTCAAATTTAGTTTTAAAGTGTCTTCAGATGTTCTGGAGATGTTCGAGCGAGTCGCACTGTGAGGACATCTAATACCTTTTATCAGGCAGGGGCGAATTTCTAAAACCATTTTTGTTTTAAGTGCAAAATCTGAATAGCAAACTTGTAACCACTTATCATATGAGGACAGAGAGAAGTAACTAAGAGGTCTTGTGTGAAAACAACTGAAGGTTCTGTAATCTGACTTCCAAAGCATTTTGTCAGTGACTCCGACACGTGCAGCCTACACCACCAGGTGGGATTCATTAGTTCACGTGGCTGAGAAGCAAAAATGACTCAGCTACAATACGGAGCACAGCTGCAGTTTATTTTTAATGTATTCTTAATTCTGCTTGAGTCATGTTTCCACGGTTTCATTTAACTGGGTTACCAGAATTGCTGTCAACTCACCACAAAGCAGAAATGACAAGATGGGCACTCTCAAAACTCATTCCACCCTGCACAAGTCAAGACGGCCGTAAATCTGCGCTTTGTGTGTGTAAATGGTAAAAAACTAAGACAAATGAAGCAATACAAAGTTTCCAACTTTATTAACGTTTCACTTCCCCTTGCTGTAATCTCAGACTGAAATTCCTACAACACTCATGCAATGACAGGAAAGACGACCAGTCTTTGAATAATTTTCCTCCCATAAAAGCAAAACCTCAAACCCCTGTTTTCCGCTGACTGGCTGCTTTTATTCCCTCTTGGACGCAATGTGGCAGAGGTAAACTGGTTCAGGACGGACCAGTCTGGGAAAACTGCAGCCCTCATCCACTCACCGGCCAAACCAACGACTTGCCATGCTTTCTGCATGATGATACTGGGCTGACCAGAAAGTAGGGTATGGGGGAGCCACTGTTATACTTTGACGCAGTTCTATTACTTGTGACACATCGTTTTTTTTTTTGCCTGGCAACAACGTTACTTGCTTCTACAGCTGGAGATCTGACAGGCCTGGTCTTTGGGTGAATCAGTACTCGTGGTTAACCGGCAAGGGGAAACATTTTTCGCCACCTCCCTCATAAATCCCAGATAAATGTGCAGCTGAGGGGAGTTTAGAGAAGACTGGGCTTCTCTTCGATAGATAGAACTGGATATTTATAGCTACAAAGGGCTATTTAAGTTCATTTGAACACACTTTTAAAAGCCTATAACCAGGATTATTAAAAATACTGAGGTCATGAGTCAAATCTAAGTTTTTGACAACAAAAAAAGAAACTGTAAAATGTTTGATTATTTGACATTCTTTTAACTGTTCGCTTATATTTTCTGTACATTTTATCTCCCTATATGAAATGTTTCAAAACCTTCTCCACACTTGCAGGATGTATTTCTTGTATTCATTTGATCACTTAAATCGAATACATTTCTAATCGGTTTGTGTCACTACAGATCCGCTTAACATATTTCCAAAAGCATGTCTTTTAAAATATTGGTGCTTCTTTGAATATTCTTAAATTAAAGCTCAGTCTGTAAAACGTCTGGCTCTGTGGGTCAGTAATAGGCACCAAACTATGAAAGATGTGCCTGTAATTCTAAGAGACGAAGAACAACTGATCTCAAAAGAGGGTAATGTAAAGTTAAGATTTTATATTAAAAAAAAAACGTTTTTTGACTGAAATTGTACTAAATGTACAGTGAGCCTGCTTTGACCTTTGATCGTTTTTTAGTTCATGTATATCATACAGAATAACTTCATGACCAAATGACTTCCTCAGTGAGATCATACTGATGCAAAAACTTTAACACGTCAGAGGAATACCATGCAGCAGCGCCAGTGTATAAAAAGTCAAATGAGGTGAGTGAGAACTTTGTTGAAGCTACCAAGTCTGTCGTCTCCTCCCAAGTCATTTCCTTCTGCACAAAGTTTCCCAGACACGTTGGAAAGAGAGACTCATTTGTCTAAAGGCTTTGAGTTTTGGAGAGCAGCTTGTCTGGGCTTCTGTAAAATAATGACTATTTTCAGCCTTTTGAATGATCCAAACAGGCTGCAAACCATTACCATTATTAACCCTGCCAATACCAAAGATTCGGTTAACTTTCCAATCTTTTAGACAGTACAGTGTGTACTCTGTCGTGCAGAAGCTATTGTTTTCTGTGGTCACTGCTGTTCTACCGATGATGGCTCGAATACAAGCTTACTCGACAGCTTTCAGAAGTATCTTATCTCATTAATAATGTTTCATTCCTGCTCAGTGAATATTTCTGATGTAAATTTGCCAAATTGGATTTTCTCTTCCCAAATTACCGCATGTTGATGCTGACAAATCAGAGCCGAACCCTTAAGTCTGGAACCCTTGTGATTTAATACCATTGTTGTTTGAGAATATGAGGTTCCTCCCCTGAAACGTGGAGTGAACCTCCAGTATACAGCAGAATAAAAGCTATTAGTTTACGTGCAACATTTATTCACAACGACAACGAGAGCAAGTTAATTCAAACTCTAATACCGCTGTTAATAGAGAACAATTGAAACTAATCAGGAAACATTAAAACGGCAGGTCTGTTTAAACTCCTCATATGTTTACAAAGCTGTCACTTCCTTAATAATATGGATGTTGCGTCAGTATTTTACCATCCATGTGCCTTACTCATGTCGTCATCATCATAGTCTCTTTTTAACATTTCATTCTGCTCGACTCCAATCAAAACATGGCCGACTTCAGAGTCCTTGTGAACACCGGATAGGACAATGGGGCCCCGAGTGTCTCTGGTGTCTCTGGTCAGTACCAGTAGGACCGTCTGGGCCTTCTGTTCTCCTGGATGCCCAGCTTCTCCATCACTTCCTCCTCCAGGGTTTTTAGAGATGGTACATAGGTCTTTTCTAGAGTGTCTTCTGGACTGGTGTCTTTGGGACCATCTGTAACAGCAGAAAGAGAGGCGCATGTAAAAATACATACAACTTGAGAAGCATAGGAATAAAAAAGGTACAAATTTCAGAAGGCAGCTGTTCACTCTGCCTTAGAGTCATTCAGATGTTTGGTTTGACGGCACATCGTGCAAACTAGCTCATTTAAAAAAATACTGTGAAATTTAGGGAATACAATTAAGTTGGGAGGTTGTTCGGCATCACTAAAGGTTTACTTTCCATGTGTCTTTCACTTTAGAATGAAATGCGGTTCTTCCACTATAAAGCAGTCCAACTATACTCAGTCACTCAGACACCTATTTTTAGAAGTCTGAAGATGGTGGAAACAGTTTTATGTGCTGACTTTTAGCTACAGATGGAATAAACTTCTTACTGAAAAGAATCCCCCTCTAATACACACACACACACACACACACACACACACACACACTCTCTCACCTTTCCACTGCTGTGGCACGATGCCATCTCGTCGCTCCACAACAGGTTTCGGGATGATTCGACCCGTCCTGAGAGACACTCGGACTCTGTCCCCCTCCTCTGTGAATTTCCACTGCACATCAGTGGGCTTCCTGGAAGATCAATATCAGCATGTCATGATGAATCGGTTGTGAAACCAGAGATCATTTATATTTATCTACAGTAAATAACGCTGGACTATTTTTTTATATCCTGAAAGCAGCTTGAAGATCGACAGATTGAAGACCATCTAGAAAAAGGATCACAGCTCCTTTTGCATGCTGATCAGCGGCTCAGCTTTTGTTCAGGTCCTGAGGTAGGTGTGCACATGCATAGCCACAATCTTAATCTTGCAGTGTAGCAAGCTTTACTGTACCTGTCCGAGGGGTCAATGAGTGCAATATCGCGGAGCAGGAGGGGAGCCTCGCTGGCAATGTACGTCCCTCGGTAATCCCCAGTTTTTCCAATATACCTGTGATGCTGCGATAGAAAACAACAGTTCCAACTCTGAAAACCAAACCGCTGGTGGCCAAATGGCTTCTCATGGCGCACTTTGTCAGCCTGAAATTCTGCTAGACATCTGCCTCCACCTGGTGGAGTTAAATTATAAATACACAGTGTATGACACTGATACAACAGTAACTAACATGAAAACTTTACTGTTGATTGACAGCTCCCCTCTGTATCCAAAATTATTTAAATGCATACTGAAGTTAAGTAGTTCCTTACTGTGTTCAGGCCCTCCAGCATAACCCAGTTTCTGTGTCTGAAGACTTGCACCACTTTTCCTTGCTTCCCTTTGTCCTTCCCTGTGAGAATCTCGACCTGAGAAACGAATGAAGAGCAGATACTTAAGTCCATGTTGCACAAACATTGTCTGACCAGTTACTTCTGTCAATCCAAGTTTGGACAAACATGTTAAAGAGCTTCTATTTTATTGGAGTAATCTCCATGAATTGTTGATGGCATTACTTTTTATTAGAATTTGTGCTCAGTCTTCTGAACAAAATATTTCCTTTCAAAGAGTATGTCAAAGATGTAATTTATTGTTGTGGCTGGTAGCTTTCTAAAGAAATAACACTAAGGTAAGGTGGTGTACATATTGTTTATACACTGTTCATCCATCACAACTGGTATCCAGCGCTGTTTCAATGGTTCTGGAGTTGTATGGAGTTACAAAATTTCCCAGACCTGTAGAAGTCCCAAAAGTCGGCTTAATACTTTGATCTGCACTTAACTTAACTTGATCCTCTTGACACTTAAATGTAAAAACATTAAAGTCTTAAGTTTTGAGCTGGTAAAATCTCTGGCCAATTCACATGCCTTGAATAATTACTTCCAAGGACTTGCAACTGACAATTTGCTTTAAGAAGACTTGGGACTTGAGTTGAGCTCCTCACCATGTCCCCTCTGAGCACAGACCAGTCCTCTGGTGCTATCGGCTCCACAAACACCTTCCGCCTCTTCTTCCCCGGAGGATTCAGCCTCTTAGCAGCCACTGTCCACGGTCTGTTGGTGCCGAAGCGGTAATCTTTGGGCACAACCACCCTGGCTGCCATCGACAGGAGAGCGGTCAGCCTCATTGTGCTGCAGGGACCAAATTAATCAAAGTTCGCACATGAGCTCAAAAGGTGCCCAGTCTCCCTTCACATCAATACTCTCCACACAAGCTATGCTAACGTTAGCTTTCGGGGAAGCTAGAACTAACGTTGTGTTGCAGCGGACACTATCTTTTAAAACACACTAACATCTTAAATAAGACTGCTACCTATCTTGTCAAAACGTTGTTAGAACAAAAAAAGAGTAAAGTATTATAACATGCAGAGAGATCTTACCCTCTGTTGATGTCAATGTCACATGTAGCAGCACTGACCAACACTACCGTGAGCAGGTAGCGCCCCCTAGTGGACAGGAGGGTAGGAACTGGCTGTACGCATGCGCCAATAATGTATTTCCTGTTGGTCAGCAGAAATTACTTTTGATTTTCTTTCTGGGTCAAAATTTAAATAATATGGATGCTTGAAATAAATTGTACAATACTGTAAGATCTTTTCAAGACGACAATTGTTCTGGAATTGGAGTTAGTTGAAGATATTGCAGTATTTCACAATTGTTTTGGCTCAGGTTTCACAAGAGTTTCATAGTACTAAGTACATAGTACTAAGCCAAACTGATTACTAAATGATTACCTTTAAAAACAAAACACTGTCCTGTTCATTCCTCAGAATATCTTAAGTTTGATGCCTTGAAAAAAGTCAGAATATAAATGACAAAATTACAATCATCGTTTTGGCTGGTATTGATGTAGGATTTAATGTAACGGTCAGAATATTCAATAAATAAAATAAAACATTTAAAGTTATTCTCCCTCCACATCATTTCAATTACTTACTTCTTCATGAATTGCAATTTGTCTCATCTCTGTCTGTATAATCGGTGATGAATTGACAATATGTGTGTTAATGAATATGTATTACGGTTTGTGATCATTTTCTTTCAAATTTCAACTATGATGTGTCATCTGCAACATTACGACCACAATGTTTAAGATGTCAGTTTATTTTGAATGTAAAAGCAGATTCATTTTATAGCAAATGTAATTTTTGGGGTATACAAGAGTACCCATTGTTAATATCTTTGATACAAAATTGCATAAAAACTAAAATTATCTATTCAAGCAAATGTTATAATGAATCGTTATCTATTATTCTCTCTTCCTTTACCTTTAGTGTTTCTGTTGTGATAAATACAATGGAAATATATTACGATCAATAAAATACGGCACACTCATTTGCAATAGCCTGTTTTGATTTAAAATGTCTAAAGTGAGTTATTACAAGAAATACTGTAGTGTTACTGTGATGAAGCGGAGAGATATTTATAGCACTCATATACTACAAGGCAAGAGGCTACATCATCTAAAAGTGAATCTACCGGAGAACTCTTGGACATTTTAAGGACAAATAAAAGTGGACTTAAAGCATTATGTCTCCACCCAAACAGGTTTGGTAAAGAGTATATATATATGACAGTCAGGACTTGTTACATCACCACCAAAACTAGTTCAGCGATTACAGCCCAAAGCCCCGAACTGTGCTGCAAGGCTCTCTTGAGAGCAAATTATTTATGACAAGTGCGCAAAAACACACACACACAAAAAGGTGCAATCATTAGTTTCAGACATTTATAACTTTATAACTTAGTGAAAAATGAGGTGTGAAATGAGTAATTAGTCTTGGTTTGTTTGAAAAGTTACAGTAGACATCCGCTGCTTGAAACAAGAGGTTAAACACAATACCTGGTTTAGGGGGTGTTTTAAATTTTAAAAAAGTAATTGCAGACAATCCTGTTATTTAAGAACTCAATGACTAAGATTGTGGTAGATGATTTCCAGAAAGAGGAAGGGGATAATCAACAATTATCAAGAAGGATTTACTGCATATAAACATGACAAAACCATTTTGTTGTAATCAATATGTTTATTAAATGGACTAGCAACTACAACAGTAAACTAAGCAGCAGATTAAGATGAATGACAGCTTCTGGAAATAAATGATTAAGCTTAACCAAGAATTACACCTTGATGCCAAATCATACCCCTGGAATTAACTCCAGACATGAGTGGGCAACTTTGACCATGTTATAGAAATCAGTGGGATTTTTTTTAGGTGGGTACAAGCCATTTTAGGCACAGCAGCCAGGGTGATTTGCACTGGGTTGAGGTGAGGTAAAGGTTGAGATTTTCCCTTAAATTTATAATCTGGTCACCTGTGGGCTCATGTTGCCAAATACAGGACAAAAAACTAAAGCGATGACAATGACATCCAAGTAACATGGTGAGCAGGCGGAGCATCACAAAAACCACTTGAACCTTTAAAAATTACCAAGAGTGGAAAATAACTAACACCACATTTTGAACATGTTGTCTAAACATGTTGAAATAAAACACATCATTAGAACATCACAACTTTGTTTCACAGCCAAAATAATAAGACCAGTGAAGTAAAACAGACTCATATTCCAGTTAAGATGGAAACCAAAAGTTCAGAAAACAAAGGTTTTACAGATGGTTCTCTATGTAGAGTCTCCTCATTTTAATTTCTTCCAAAAAAAAAAAAAAAAAAAAAAAAAAATCAATTTCTACAGATAATATACGTTGGCATCGACGATGTCAGCAATACATTTGAAAAGGAAACATATTTGGTACAACCAATTACTGAATGCGATGTGAGCTTGAAAGAACTTGTAATAACTTGAAATTGAGATCTGAGTTGATGGATTTGAAAGTTTGCCAGATAATTCCTCCAGAAAAAGGTGTCAACAAATAACTTTCACCCCCGACAAACGCCACAGCTCCACCTCGAGACCGAGCCGCGACACAACAACATTCAGGAATGTCTTTCTGCTTTCAACAATCAGCAGCTGAAGAAAGTTACAGAAGGGTTTAAAAGTGTTTTAATCCTACAATAGTTCTTCTCAGAACGGGCTTTAAATATTTAACCTGGTGAAATGAATGACGTGAATTTGGTGACCTGCAAATTAAGCATTCACTACACCAAAGCAACAAAACCTGCATTGCATAAAAACATCATACAGTGAACTAGACAATGGCAAGGGGAAAAAAACTAATTCTGAAAGTGCAACTCATCACGTATCCAATGACTGAATAGATGAAGCCGATAAGCTAGGTGAAACAAATGGAAGTAATACATTTATTGGATGAACTAAAGCTGAGAGCATGGGTGAAAATTTGTTCTTATTCCTGTACAATATCTACGTTTTAAAACCACCAGATGGGAGTATTTATCTTTTTTTATGGTTTAAATGTTCTCCTTTTTTATTTTCTATATATTTCAGTGTTTATTCCCTCGAAACTGAAAAATGTTTTTGACACCTAGCATTCAGTCTTTGTAATTATGTAATTGCACTTAGAAATAAAAAATATATACACACCAAAATCCCATTTATAAATGAGCCTTAAAGGGCTCAGTTCAATTGTTTGAAATCAGATTAGCAAACTTTTGGTTTCTGGGATATATGATATCCCAAAAATGGCAAATGAGGATACGTTTGTCTCTCAATACAAACACCTAGGTTTTTAAAACTCTATTAATTAAACAGCTGAAATCTGGCATCCAGCCGGTAAACATGTCGGTGCTTAAATTCCAGAGAAAAGCGTCAAAGGTTCTTGGTTTTCTTCTGAGAGTTGACGTTAAGCGCTGTCTGTCACAGGCTGCAGGGAGAACAGTGGAGAGCAATTAATACATGTAGTGTCTCTGACATGGAACATAAACATACAATTTTGATCACATTTTGCATGGTCTTTAGGTATCTATACTTAGATACTGTAGAATATTTACATATCATAGCATGGCCCAAAACCTGCATAAACACCAGAATGGTCTTTCAAGCCCGCATTAGGTCCCGACGGTGCCCGTGTCTCACCTTATCTGCTGTTAGCTGGCCTCCTGCTGGAGCCTTTTCCTGGGCCTCTGCTTTGGACTCGCTCTGTGAGGAGGGAGCAGTTGCCTTGGGTTCAGCCACATCGTTGAGCTTGGCCTCAGCGTTGGACTTGTTGCGGTCTACTTTAGGATCATCTTCTGCCTCTGTATCCTTCGGCCGCTTGGGTGATGCCTGACGAAAGGTTTGTCAGAGAAACAGAAAGCTCAACTATGAACCGAATATAAAGCTCTCTACTTACACTGTGTACAATTGACGGAGTCAAAGCTCACCGCTGTGGACTCCTCCGCTTTTCGTTTAGCTCCTCCCCTCTCGTTCTTCTCGTCGATGACGAGGGCCCCTTCATCCTCATCACTGCTGCCCTCGGCATCTGCTTTCTCCAGACTTCCTGTATCCCCTGCTACTTCTGACACGTTGTCCTTCTTCGATGACTACAGGCCGAGATTTAAAAGGAGTGAATTAAAAGGAAACAGTCAAAGTCTGGAGTTAGACCCACAAGAGCATACACCAAAGTCTTAATGTTGTCTTGAATTAGTAAACAGTGCTGTTCTTTTACGTTCTTCAATCGGGGGTAAGGCGTGTAATGTAATTTGTGCTGAAAATGATTTCACCAGGTTCTTACAGACACGAGGATTGCTGTGGAAACGTGTTGCGTCGACTACAAGTTTTGAGCTTGCTGGCCAAACAAGACACTCAATGCATGATTGGTTGGGTTGCTCTGTAGACAAGCATCTCAATATTTATTGTCTTGTTTGCATCTCTGGGCTTGCACCTTGAGCTCATCTCTTTCCAAACAAGGCAACAGCGAATATCCGACAGGTTTCCTTGTTTTGATCCTTAATAGTTTCCCCCTCATGGGCCAGTGAGTGTGTGAAGGGGCAGTGAGGTACATTACGCCACAGAGTGAGACAAAATATGATCTATTGCCACCTTTGGCTTTCTTCAATTACAGTTAATTGTTACTTTGTAATTCACACTGTTTCCTTTGCCTCCTTCAGCAAACAAAATTACCAAAATTTGATATTACATGGGGCACAAACACAACGTACATTACTCACAGTAGAATAAAACACACTTGGCCTCTATGCTAGAAATACACACACACCTCGTAGCCTTCGTGTGTGACGGTGGGGTTCTTCTCAATCTCCCAGAGTCCCTCAGCGAAGCCTTTCCTCTTGTTTGCTTTTCCAAATTTCTCCTTATTTTCATCGTATGGGCACAAATCCTTGGCCCCTAGGAACGCCCTGTGGAGGTGAAAAGTTACTAGTTTTCTAAATGTGCACACCCATCCACTGAAGCACATTAATTCCAAATGTGTAATCAGCAGAGATGGTGTTATGTCGTACAAGTAGCTGCGGCTTTTTTAACATTTGGATAAATGACAACACATTCTACTAAATTCCTATACTGATAAATGATGAGCCAATTATTACTTAATCAACAGAAATGAATCTGTAAATGTATTTTGACACCTGACTGATACTGTTATACATTTAAAAAAAAGTGCATTTCATGATTAATGTAATGCTACTAAACAGAAACACAGATAATAGACTAGTTCAAGAAGAAATAAGTTCTTGAGGGATGTTTGTTTTCATTTTCTTCCATTATTAATCTCTCTGCCATCATTTAGACTCCACTAGGAATAAGACGGACAGCTTTAACACATTACTCACGTCTCGTGTGTCCCAAAAAAGAACACCTGGTACTTGTTGGAGGGGGACTTCACGGCTCCTTCAGGTAACTCGTCAATCTGTGAATTAAGAACACAGCTTATTGAGAAAAGAGGCTGATAAAAAATAAAAAAATAAAAATCAATGCAACTATTCGGGAAAATGATAATCAAGAAAAACTCAAAGACAAAAGTAGATTTAAATGTCGACGTGACAAACACAGGACCACTTCATCAATGTCAAACCCATTACGGTCATTAGTATTCTGAATAATTTTACAAGTTTAAAAACTACATTTGAAATACAAGAAGTACATAATTTACACTGATAAAAAGAAAGAGCAGAAAATCCTTATATATGATAAGCTTGAACCAGAAAATATTTGGTATTTTCTTTCCATAAATAAACTATTTGAATATTGACCTTTTTCTATCACTAGAAATAAATTAACATGTCTGACAGCTGGGGTAGTATTGGTAAATGCTCCATCAAGTCTTACCAGTTACTGTAAAACTCCTCTCTAATTCAACTCTTATGAGCCAATTGATAACAGGGTCATTGCACTGTTTGGCTCATCCACTCTGCCACTACTTATTTGTGTTTTTAAAGAGCACGGCAAAACACAGAAAGACATGGTGTCCGTTTGCAAAGTGCCAGTCAGGCCTTTTGGCAATCCCAGATACGGCCACTGAATGTGGATAGGTGGGGCAGGACCTGTGGCCTGCTGACAAGAGGCAAGGCTGATAAGAGGAAAAGGAGGGAAGAGGCACATATCAATACTGAAACGAACTCAACTATTCACTTGTATTAAGTGGCACTCTAAATATTATTTTTGTTATTTAGTTACGTTATATACATAACTGTATTTATAAACATCTGAGAACTTAAAAGTCACACATTTTCTTCCATGCTGAATAATAACTAACATTGACTGAAATGTTGTGCTGCTGCGTGTTTAAGGACCTGGTAGACATTACATTGTGGTCTTATACCACAGTTCTTTATGAGCATGACACAAATGTTAAAAGCCTAACTTACAAGCAGACACACTGTTAACGTATTTGTCGCAATAACTGTGGGCAGGCAGGCATGTTCTCAAAGCATCAAAGCATATGGTTACACAAGTAGCCATGTGTCGTCTGTAAAGCAACAGCTATTAAGGAAAACAACTTATTTAGCTACAATGTAACTTAAGCTAAGTTACACCGTAGATTCGTATTTGTGTCCCAATACAGCACTGCTTTAAGATAACGTTTGCTACTACAGACGTTAACTTTGTGTCTGTCAGGACTGTTAAACTGTAGCCGACCTTTCTGTTAACGTTGCCCAGCTGCTCTCTCCATTACGGAGAGCCGTTAGTTAACGTTAGCCCAACAGGGCCCCTGGGAGACGACAGCGGCACATGAAAAGCAGCGTTGGTGGCAGAGAGCAGCTAGCAACAACATTCATATTTAGTGAGCCGAGCAGGGTAACGAGGTGTCTGGCTGATGACTCACTCAACACAAATGTGCAACTGTCTACGGTTTGGCTAACGGATAGCTGTGTGTTGATGCTGGGCAACGTTAGCTTGCGCGACCGAGCTAGGCTAACTCATGGTAGCTAACTACTGATAGGCCTTGCAGGTAAACAAGTGATAAGAACAGGCGGCCAGAAGGACCGACATTAATACCAAACCTTAAGCTGGAAACAAGACAGTAAACGTTGGGTGCTTACCCTCGCAGGCCACTGTGGATACCCCTTCATTTTAGCAAATACAAGATCTCCAGGTTTGTATTCTCGTTGCCTGTTGGACCTCGGCATGTTTCTTGCAGAAATGACTTGCTATGTCAGATAACCTTATACGAGTTAAAACACAGTAACGCAGGTTAGTAGTTGTATTGTGGTACAGTGTCCCGGGTTGGTCAACACCTGCTGCAAACAAGCCAAGCGTCGGTTTGTCATCCAAATAAATTAACTAGGCGCGGAAAACTGGAGCGAAGACGAGGCGGCCGACTTTTTTTTCGCGGATTCTGTGGACTGTAATCACGGCCCGGTGATAACAATACCGGTCTGGTTTGTGTTTGGATAACGTTACACTACGGAAACACGCGGTAACTATTTGGGTTGAACGTTATCCTACAATCCACTGGCTCCGTCCCTTGGACTGTTTGGGTTTGAAATTGAAACCCGCCCGCAGACGCGCCCCCCAATCTGCACAGTAGTGCCCCTAGTGGACATTTAAGGTATATTTCTCATTTTGGAAAAGCAATCAATGAAAAAATACATATTCACCTGGAAATGTGATGGACGATTGTTTGACTGAGATAGAAATTCACGTAAAAGTATATTATTATTTTAAGGTTTTCACTTCAATCAAATACAAATAAACGAACCAAATTAATTTACATGGCTGGATTAATTTGCATGGAGGCCCAATGTGTGCAATCTCTGTGGATTGTGTACAGTTATTCTATGCTGGAATACAGCTCAGGCGTAGATGTGCTGTGTGGTAATTAAACACTTAGCCTACATTTATAAATGTGCAACATAAGCACACAATTGAACGAGGTATTGCATTATAATTTGGAAACAAAAACCCTCTTCGCTGTCAATTAAGAGAGGGCCTTCATGTCTCAGGTTGTCATGTCAGTTAAAAATGTGCTTTAGTGGTGCATAATTTTTAGCAAATTTTCAATAATAAGACAGTTGCTGAGCCTGTCTCCCAATTAACAACACATACAGATAATTACAACATCAAGTAAGGTTGTCATTACCATGCATCATCCATCATGCAAAAGCCCTCTGTCACAAAACAGCTTAAATTCAAATTTTTGGCCATTTCAAATTAGACAAAAGTATGTGGTAACCAAAACATTAGACCAAAATATGATAGTTGGACACCTCTGCTTTAACAACCTTCACTTCTCTGATTTTGTGGGACATTGCCACATATAGTCTGGCTCACAGTCTCTGGCCCAATTAATCCAAAAAGGTGTGTGATGGGTGGACACCAGGGCTCTGTGAGGCCCGTCGAGTTCTTCCACACTAAACAAAACCATTTCTGTACCGAGCTTGATTTGGTTTTTTTGAACACTGAAGACAATAAGGAGAGATGAGCCTGTTTTGGATTTTATAATGCAAGCCAACAAGACATGCGGACCAGGGTTGTTGCTGTTTTTGTTACATGTTTTTGAAACTATTGAGGGCAAACGTTTTCCTAACACACCCCTCGCCCCCCTGAGAATTTTTTGACCAGAACCAAATATAAGTTATTTAATTACTTGGATATGTCATGTTTTATTGAATCCATTAAACTGTTGCTTTAAATTGATGTTTATACACACTCGGTCCGTCGGGGGCGTTAATATCGTGGATTTGTTTACCAACTGATTAAAACAGAAGAAGAAGAAGAACGAAAGCTGCGCAGAAAGCTGCGTAGTTGCCGTTTCTTCAATCATGAACGATGGAGGCGAATGTTTTGATGGAGTCTAAGGACTAAAATAAGCTCCGCTTTTGTGGTGTAAATCACAGCTACTGCTTCAACCGATGTCATAGTATGTACAGTAAGAGATCTGAGAAGAATTTAGTTTGACCGAGCACGAAAGGGCCGGTTAGCTAACATCGTTTGCTGCTGCGGCCTAGCTAACGTTAGCTAACGTTAGCTTACTTTAGCTTGCGTTGTTAAGTTGGGACAGACATCATTTAATGAGCTCACTGCTCGGCTCTATTTCAACCTGCTGTGTTTTCTTCATACTACCGCTCCATCGAGACTTATTCCATTATCTTTGTAGTTATATTTATCGAAGATTATCGTACCTTTTAATATAAGATAGTTCGTCGGAAAGTGTGAGCAGCTTCTTGAGAGAACAACCCCAGGGGAAGTGGTTATCCATGACCAAGAGTTCCTGCAGAATAATATTATTTAATACTGTCAGCAAAAATGTCTTTAGTCGCCTATGGCAGCAGTGATGATAGTGACTCAGAAGAAACATCAACTTCTGCCGCACCGGAGGGCAAAGTCAGCGCAGGAGGGCTCTTCTCACGCCTGCCTGCTCCTAAAAAGCCAGGATCGACAGGAGGAAGCGGTGGACCAAGAAAGGAGACGAAAGCTAGCCGTTCACCGGTGGACAGCACGTCAAACAACGACCCAACGTTAGAGCCACAGTCATCCAAAGGAGGCTTATTTTCTAGTCTGCCTAAGCCGAGGAAGCGATCGGAGCCCGTCAAGATCACTGTACCGCAGATCCAGAGACGGGATGTGAGCACTGCGTCGTATCAAACCGTTTGCTTTGATATGCTGTCGCTCCTGTGGCATATGCAGCCAGGCTGTAACTCATAATCTATGTATTTGTTTTGTCTACAGTCCGACTCTGACGATGACGATGCACCAGCGAAGAAGAAACTACAACCTCAGGTAAGTGTCCCACCGTCTGCGGTTACATTCTCAGTCACCTGAATTGTTCCTAACGCAGTTAGTTTGATTGATAATGGTTCAAGTAACACTCAAGCCCGTTTTTAAATGACTTACAATTGAAACAGCTCAGCTTAGAGACCCAACAGATGTCAGGAAAAAAATGCTACCTCATCTCTATATCACAGATAATGCAGGAATAATTCAGATGTAATATGTGACCTTCTCCTTATTACAATATGGGATTGTGCACATGATATAAAGCTCATCTGTGACCTAAACAAACTGACATACATATAATATTTAATGCCTTTGCATAGTTTACAAACAATATCATACTACAAGCATGTAGCTGGCTCTCCTCTTGCCCTGTTCCATCCATATTTCTTGCCTCTTCCAGGGTTCAGGCCTTTCCTCCCTTCTACCACAACCCAGAAACCTGACAGTGAAGGGGATGGACAGGCTCCTGATTCCTCACACACTCAGCAAGCGCCAGGAACCAAAAGGACCCAAGCCTGGAAAGCCTGCTCAGGGTCTGCTTGGTTCTAGTGCATCTCCCTCGGCTATCAAAGCCGCGGCGAAGTCAGCCACCCTGCAGCTGGCTCGACAAGTAGCCACCGATGTTCAGGATTGCGAGGAGGACATAACCCCGCAGAACTACTTTTCTCTTGGCGAGAGCTCCGAGCCTCTTCCTGCAGTCGTCCCGAGCTTAGACCCTGAGCCAGGAGGCCCTGCGGAACCTCTTGCACCTGCACCTGCACTTGCACCTGGAGCTGCACCTGCACTTGCAGTTGCACTTGCAGTTGCACCTGCACTTGCACCTGCAGTTGCACCTGCAGTTGCACCTGCAGTTGCCAATGAGCCGGGTCAGTCAGATGCCCCTCTCGACTTTGGGGGGAACCATGAGGGAGCTGGTCCATGGGGAGGTCAATATCCTCAGTATCAACAGCCCATAGCAGGCCCAGAAGCTCTCCCTGAGGTAATCATGGCTCATAAAGTACCTTATACTGCATGTACATATCAGCCAAATGGCTTTAGATTCTGGTTGAGGGATGGCAAGAGCCCCCCCAAGAAATGAGACCAGTTCTGTCATCAACTATAGACATTAAAGCGATATAAACCAGAGTTTAATTGACATCCCAAACATTTTCTCCTCTGACAGGGATACTATGATGAGACATACTACCAAGATCCTGAAACCGGATCGGCAGAGGCTGAAGAGCCTGGCAACTCTGCCATGTTTGACGATGAAGCGGTAAGACCATTGCTGCTTCTTCCATCTGTATTGTTTTGCTATATATCTCTCCATGCTTTATAAGTAGGTTCATTCTTTGGTAATTTTGCAGCTGCATCAAGCCAGGTTTAGCACGTTGTTTTACTGACATGAGCTATTTCATCCTGTGCTGTAGTTCATGCGGCTGCAAGGGAAACGGAACAGAGGCAAAGAGGAGGTGAAGTTCCTGGAGATCAAAGGAGACGACCAGCTAAGTGGCAACCAGCAGTGGATGACAAAGAGCATGACGGAGGAGAAGCAGACCCGTCAGTCCTTCAGCAAGGTGACCGAACTGGATCTCAATGACTGGCTCCAGCCGTAAAATGTTCAATGTGGTGGAAGCTAAAAAAACATTTCACGGCCTGATCAACAGACATAATTTGGACTTCTCTAATAACATAGGTCATGCGGTTTATACCAAACTTAACCATGCGGATGGGCTTGATGCTTACAGGACTGTTATGAAAATGATTTAATGCGGGTCAAACTGCATAAAAATGTCAGAACATGTCCTGATTGAGCAAAAGATTTTGAGAAACAACACGTGTACTACAACACCTTTTAACTTTATGTATCATCTACTTTTTTTTTCCCATTTCTGCAGAAAAATAAAGAACTGCCTACAGGACAACAGCGACGCAAGCATCAGATAACGTATCTCATTCACCAGGTGAGTGCTGCCAACAGTCGGCATAGTCTGTGAAATGTTGCATTAGAGTTCTTTTTGACACCAAAACAGCGCAGGCTTTAAAGGGGGAGAAGGGATTCAGAGTTCACTGATGTAGCTTAACACAAACAGAATATCTTGTAGCTAATGCAAGAACTTCTAGTGCCTCTCATTAGATGGACGTGGCAAAATGTGTACATCATTTTTCCGTTGGTTGTGAAGGTGAAACAGAGCAGGCTGCGAGTACCAACATACCAAGAGTCTGTGCTCCCGCTGTGACATGTCGGCACACATTCAACTCCGAGTTGTTGGCTTCCGTCCTCTTTTGTACTAAGCGTACATCAAGCATTGTGTCGACTATTGTATGCCTGTGGTTTATACAGTAAGCTGCAAAGACGAGCCTACACAAGACATTCAAACAAGCTAAAGAATAGTTTCCAAATTACTCTCAACTTTGCTTGTAGCTTCCTGTTTAACGTTCAGAGTATTTACAATCATGTTGAGTGGTGTTTCAATTTGACACACCTCAGATGGTATTCAAAGTAGGTTTGGGATTTATTCATAATAAGCTGGTTGATATTCAGAGATCATATTTGTCTGTGTACTCACTCTGGCTGTTGGCTTGAACTGACCCAACTTTCTTCTTTCACAGGCAAAGGAACGCGAGTTGGAGCTGAAGAACAGCTGGGCAGACAACAAGCTAACCCGCCGGCAGACACAGGCCAAATACGGTTTCTAAATGTCATACTGTGGACTCTTGGCATGTGGAAACCCTGCATCAGAAAGTAGAGTAGAGCTTTCCACATTTCCCTACACACTTGTGGAAGATTTGTGTTTGGGAAGACACTATACACACACACACACCCTTAATACAGATTTTCTTTCCCTCCTGTATTTGTGTTGAATTGTTATTATCCAGTAGTTATTTTTGTCAACTGTTTCATAAAGTGTTACTTTTGTACGGAAAAATCCAGCCAGTCGTTAATCTTCCTTTCACAGTAAATATAGGCTCTCTACCTACAAATGAAGATACAACAGTGTTTGTAGGGTACTCAGTCCTGTTCATGCAGCGAACATTTATGTACGACTCCTGTTTTGTGATGGAATACAAACGACTCCACAAAACGGGTTTGGTTCTCTGGCAGTCACACAAATGATAGTGACACGTTGCCTTCCATAATGAGAAATGAACCAGAGGCAGTAGAAAGCTGTGGTGCATCACATATTTTGTAAAAACGAATAAAGATGTTCACAATGACTGAAATTGTCCACGTCTGCCGCAGTTATTTTATCCCCAATTTGTAATTTACCTCTTGTTTTTTTGCATTTAAAGCTCAACCGACTTGTGAACGAGCACACCTGCATCGACATCCGTTCTGAAGTTGGTTTACGTAAATGAATTGCCAGAGAACCAAACATGTATTTCACTTCCAGCTGGTTCTTTTAAAACAGGACCTTCATCTCAGTTTTACCCGGCTGCATCCAGCATGCATCTTACAGATTTAGTAGTTGTCTGCTAAATCCCTATGACAAGTCTTTTTTTAGTAGTGTGTGACTGGCAGTGAGGCAACACATTTAGCCTCTTTACGCTACCCTAAATAGCGATCACATTAACTTCCAAGTTTTTTTTTTTAGGTGGTTAAGAGGCTGTAACTGTACGTCTCTCTGCTGCTCCAGTCACAAGAAGATTCTGCTGTTTAAATGAGTGTGTGTGTGTGGCTTGTCCTCTGCCAGTAAGCTGTTAAGGGAAACTATGAACTGTTCAATGTGGTGAAACAAAAATACTGCCAATCTCTCCAGCTTTGGAGAATATTGCAGATTTCTGCCTTTTCTCTTGTATTGATGTACAGATCGTTCTTGCACAAATCTTTCCCATCCTGCAAAGAAGCCTTTTAAAATAGCCTTTCACTGAAGCAATAACGTTTATTCTGGCTTTCATTGTTTCCTCCTTTAAGAAAGCAATGATTAGTCCACCCTGCATCAATACTTTTTGTTTTCCAAGCGGAAAAATAGATTACAAATGTAAACTCATGAGCCAGGTTGCTCTATTAGACATCGATTTTTGTAGAGAGCGTCGTATGTAAACTGTGTCTAGGTGTGGTGGCGAGAGCTCCATAGTTTTCCACCATTACTGCACCAACACAGGCACAACCTGACCTGCCTCAAAACTGACATTTGGCAGAAACACCAGCAGTCCAAGAATCTCGTTTGCTTCCATACTTCGTAGTTTTGTTACATGTACCGCCTGTAGAGCCTGATTCAGGGCATATTTACACACAGACAGCCCAAAGCAAGTAGCTGACCGTCTGAACACATACCCTCACACATTATCTAAGACAGGAATATAAATTAAAGAGCTTAAACTTATGCAAGTTCCATGTTTTTTTCTTCTTCCGTGACAGCTGTTGGACAGTGCAAAGAGTGCTTGGATGAAATAACATTTCCATAAAACTAAGCACACATTCATGCTCTCCTTCTGTCTCAAGACCCAAACATTAACCTCAGCAGGTTTCATGAACAGACTGACAAAGCATACTACTGATTCAGTGACATGTTTGATGCCAGTGCTGGGAAAAGTCTTCTTTTTTTTTTTCTTTACCCTATACTTTTGTGCATGTTGTGCAGTTAAAATTGAAAGAATAAATATTTTGCCTTTTCTGGCTCCATTCCTCTGAATGTAACTGGGTGGTTTGATGTCACGATGATGCAGGTGTTATATACGGTAACATTACAAAAGATCATTTAGGGTTCATGTGTAGTATAAAGTAGTCCACTTATTGAACTAATGGCATTAATAATGACGCAGACAACGGTTTTGATTCATGTATAATGTGTATTATAAGTAAACAATCTCCATTGTAGTTCTATGCACGTCTTCATTTGGAGTCCTTTAATTAATCCTTTTTCGAGCCGTCACTTGGTGGTGCTGTTGTGTCTTGACTCGTCTGTGTACTCGCAGCCGTTTCCTCTTCTGCAGCTCCACTGACTTGACTCACAGAGTCTTTATCTGCTTCAGCTTCCACAGCAGCAACTGCTTTCACAGCAGCTCCCTCCTCCTCCTCAGCAGGTCCTAAGCTATCTGCAGCCGCCTGCAGCATTTGTGTTTTCAACTGTTGCTGGTAACTAGCAGACGGGTCCTCATACGGCACTAGTGAAATGGGGACGCGAACTACGTCCATTCCATTAACCTGGAGGAGAAAAAATGTGACGAATAAGCTGGTCTGGTCTGTAGTAGAATAACTGCCTTAGCCTGCTTCTGTTTAGTCAGGTTTTTAATTGTTTGTGGTTCAGAGAGACATGAAGACAAGCTCACTGTGGAGAAATATTAACAAAAAGTTAAGTCTCTAAAGAAAATGTTATTAAATAAATAGTATTTCTTATATGCAACTGCTGCATTTTGCAAGAATATCTAAATGTGTTTTTTCTTGCAACATACAGTACCCATATGTAAAAAAACACTTAAGACTAGCTGGTTGGAATCAATTTCTACCAACTACTAAAAAGGCATCTATAGCGCTGAGCTGCACTTGCTTCAAACGTTTGATAATGAAATCATGTTTGTGATGCACTGAAAAAGAACGTTTCTTACCGTAACTTCACACCAGTAGTCGCCCAAGTCCTTGACTGACTCAAAGGGGAGACTCAATGCATGAGGTGGTATCACAACTCCCAGCTGAGGAAAAGGTTTATTTAGGTCAATAAAACAATTGCTTGGATGTTGAGCAGAAGCACTTACTTTAATGTCAAACAGCACAAAACGAGGACGAGAAGACAGATACCTTCTTCTGGAACTGTCTGCAGACGACCTCCTTATTGAGCTGGAATTCATCCAAAGGCATCTTGTTTATCTTCAACTTGGAGTGTTTCAGGAGCTCCACTGTCTGTAAGAAAGAAAAAAAATGTATCAAGAAACTGCTGTTAGTCTGTTCCGTGCCTTTCATCTCCTAAATACTGTGACCAGCATAGACGACTGGAAACAATGAAATGCTTTTAGATAACTCACCAACTGTCCGGTGCGTGTTTGGATTCTTTCCTCTGGCTTCCCCTCACGCAGAAGCTGTTGGTAAAATGAATCATTAATATCTATACATTGCTATCTGATATGTGGGGGAATAAATGACCGTATTAAAAATGAAGTACACACTCTTAACTCCTCGGCAAACATCTGTTTGTTCTCCGGCGATGGATACACTGCGAGGCTTTGGGGCAGCAGCTTATTTCTTCCGACGGACTTTTTCACAAACACAGTGTCTCCTCGCCCACCAAGCTCTGTAAGAAAAAACCAAAAGTTAGTTTAATAATGTGAAGAGTTTCATTGGTTTTAAGAAAACAACTGTGAGAGCATATTGTACTTGTAGATACTCACTGGGTACCGTCTGAGTCAGGATGAGCTCCATCTTCTCCTTGGGAGCAAGCTTGGTGTCTTCAACCAACTTGTAGATCCGGTGTCTTCGAGGGTGAAGCCTCGGCGGACTGCCTACTTTAGATAAGGGCACCTGCCACCAGCGCTCCACCACAACCGTGTTCTGAAGAAACATGAACCACAAACTTTTAAAGTCTGCCGTCACGTCTCGTAGCATTCACAAAACCTTAATTTATGTTAATTGTGTGGATTTGTATTCTTATGGCTCTCCAGCAGAACACTGTAGTGAGGATGTTAATGAAGGTGGACCCAGTTATACTCACCACCAACTGATAGTATACGTGACATTCTTTAAATACAGTACTTATTGCAATGACGGGTGCAAAACAAGTTGAGTTGAATGCCCACCTTTAGATGGCAGGTGGCATTTTTTTTTGCCAAGTTTGATATATTTATAAAAGCAATTTGCAAAGGATGAGCAGAGAAGTTTGTAAGCAGAAAATCAATCAACAACCATGTATGATAATTAAGTAATTCATATATCATTTATTCAACAATGGATTTCAAATATTCTTTGGTAACAGGTTCTGAAATGTTACAAATGGCTGCTTGTCTCCATTTTATGTCATTTTTAATTGAATATCTGAGTTCTGGACTGTTGGTCTGACAAAACAAGTAAATTAAAGACTAAAACTCTGGGAACGTACGATTAATCTTTTCTTTACTACTAAATGACGTTTTATAGGTAAAAAGATTAAATCAAAAATGATAATTTTAACTGATCATGCAAATAACTTTTAGGTGCAGACCTAATAACATTAGACTCCATTGCCCTTCCAGCAGGACTAACACAATGTTTTCAAACAACAAACACTGAACATTACAGTGACTGGACGCTGTTTCCTAACGTAACGATGCGTGGTCATGACGGTCCTGAGTTAAACGTTTTCAAACAAACAGCAGATTATGAATCATGTTGTTTGAAGTCTGCAGAGTCACTGACCTGAGTAGCAGTCAGAGAGAAGCTCCTGACAGCCGTTTGACTGAGCAGCTCGTGAAGGACACGGCGGCCTGAGCTCCACATGTTCATCAGACGCTGAGATTCTCCAACTTCAATAAAACACCGCAAATAAATCAGTGAAAAGCTCAATGCAGTCTGGGCTTAGGCTCCTGCACCATAGAGTTATCCCTCAGTCAGTTCACCGCAGCATGCATGTTAGCTAACGAATGCTAACGATAGCGAGCGGCTTCCGGTTGTGTGACGCAAAAGGACCACATCGGCTGAAATAGTAGTCCCGACAGAAGCCTGAATTAAAAGTCATCGCCTGAGAAAATCTCAAAATCTGGATGTAAAAAGTGACTACATCAGAATATTCTGGCGTTTCAATCTTTTAAAATATCATATTTTTGTTGTTTTGTTTTTTATTTGCACTGCATATGTTGTTCATTCATAAGTTTCATTAGGAAAATGTTATAACAAAAAAAATGAGCCAAAAAGCTTCCTGTATCTTTGGTCTCTTTGATCTTTTATTCTTTTTATCTATTTATCATGTACTATTTAATGCTGCAGCAATACTTTTTAGATTCCAAAGCAGAATTAGATAAAACATTAAAGATGCAAATGTATCATTGCATAGGCTACAGTATACATTCAATTCAGATAAAAGTCTTGTTTTGGCTGAAGTTCAGTGGTTTATCGTCTCACCTTTGATGTAGTGATGTAGAAGTGTACTCCACAATGTGTCAGTACACAGTGACATCACTGTTGGGTGTGGTTAAAGTTTCCCAAGTTTCAAGAGCAACACATTTTAAAATTTGGACTAAAGACAACCAAACAATCCTTGGGTTCTCAATAGTACCCAGGATTCATTAAAAACATCAGTTGTGTGGAATATAATTTTTCACACAGTTAAATCATGCAAACAACATATCAAACTTTTATTGATTATACTGCACAGTATGTTCACTTGTAGTAATACAACCTTAAGTGGTGCAATCAAGGCAAGTTATTCCACTGCAGAAAAAACTAACACACATATGAGGAGAATATAAAAACACTGTACCAATAACAATTTATTCTCTATCTCAATGCTGAATCAATATTAGCTGCCACTAGATTATCTAACAATTTATCTTCTATCGACTCAAATATTAACTGCTCCCTGTTGGTGTCAACAGGAAGTATGTGGTGAGACAGTGCTGTTCCTAAATTTAACTACACACCATGTGGATAATGACTAATGTTGAATTAAGCTGGACAGAGCATATTCAGGCTCCTTGTGTGCAATAAAAACCAACCCTTGAAATGTTGCACAAATATTACTTAAGTCTCAAGCGAAGTAAGGCAGCTTTCCTCAAGCTTTAGCAGGAAGATTGCAGAGCTAATCAATTCTTTAGACATTTGAAAACATAAACAAAAATGTGATATCACACATCACCACCAGCGGGTTCATGAGAATCAATGGCACCATAGAAAGTATAGCGGTTGGGTATCAGTCTGTTACCTGAAATTAAATTCTTACAGCAGGTCACCAGACCGAAGCAACAACTGCAGACGAACATGAAGGCTGTAGCGACCCACACCAGGGTGGTGACAACGAAGGCAAACTGGTAGGTTGTCTTGTCGCAGTATCGAGATGCTCCGAGTGTGTAGTCGGGAGGGTAAACAGGATAAACCCAGGTAGTGCCTAAGGGAGAATGTTTCAATTCAATTTTGATTTAAAACTACACACTAAACTGACCTTAAAGGCTCTGAAAACATATTTTCTCAATCAGCTTTTTACTACAACTGACTGGATCCAACATGAACACAAACGGTTGTAGGTGCGAGAAAGAAAAAAAAAAGATGATGTCTCATACTCCCTTTCACCAATCGAGAATCAGAAATTGATGACAATTGGTGTGATGTTTGGTCAATGTCAAATCAAATCACACCCACATAGACCTGATAGAGTTTTTGAGCGTTTAACTGTTAAGGAAGTTTTGTATGTCTAATTTTGAAGTCCGTGAAAACTTGTCTTTACATCTAAAATCAAGTTTTCCGGGGCTTTAAACTGAGTGTTGTATATGTTTTTGAATAACAGTGGAGTAGAAAGTAGAAGAACAAAGTAGCATGAAATGGAAACAGTCAAATTTGCACTTATGTACAGCACTTCAGTAAATATACTGAAGAAGATAGATAGATAGATAGATAGATACTTTATTCATCCCCAGGGGGAAATTTGTATGAAATGAAATATGTCTAAACATAACATTTCTACGACATTTTCTCCCACCTGCAAAGAACCAGCCGAAACTGAAGAGGTGTAGGATGGCCGTGCAGACCGAGCATATGATGCAGGCCATGCCGTCCCCCCAGCTGGTCTGGCAGTAGGTCAGAGACAGAGATAGGAGGTGGACTGTTCCCAGCACTATCAGGTAAATGGGGATGTTGGGCTGCACTGGACAACGGCCCAGATGTGTAGCCCCTATGAAGCAGGTGTGCAGAACCAGAAATATGTTAATATTAACATGGCTTTACGAAAAAGATTCATGAAAAATAATACTGCTTGCGGTCAACAATCACAAAAATAATACACAAAAATATTACAGTGATCAAACAGAAGTAGACCCACCCAAACCAATGGCCGCGATCATAACCATCCACCAAATGAAATTCAGCACAACTGTGAGAGAGGAAGAGGGTCAAGGGTTAGTATGTAAAACATAAAATAAGGGAGACATAAATGTGACGGAGAAAAAAAAGACTTCTAACCAAGTGATGAAATCCGCACGGCACTTTGAGGCCCGACTTCGACCTGTGGAGACGGGTCCATATCTGTAAAAAAAGCAAGAGTCTTGTCACAGTTATACACAAACACAAACACAAACAGGAAGAGGAGCTGTAGCAGCAGTGTTATACTGTACCTGTCCAGCTCTGAATGCAGACACTTTGAAACCTTTTTTCTTCTTCTTCTTCTCTTCTCTAAATTAGCGACGGCGTTAGACACTTCTTAACAAAGTGTTGACTTTGTTCACATCTTTTTTTTGGCAGGAAGTTAAGACATGTTGTTCAAGCCAAAATATCTCAGCAACTGTTTTGCAACACTCTGTGTTTAACTAGGAAGAAGCAATGATAAAATCTGTTATCTGATATAAAAAAAAAACATCTGCATGCAAAGTGTGTTTGAAGCCACAAACCACTCACATGGTGTCCTACTTCTATTTTCTATTTTGAAATTCATCGATCAGTAAAACTTAATGGGATCGCACGGTTAAGGGCTCAATTAACGCAATCCAACGCAGAAAAGACTAAGTGGTGAACTTGCAGTTGCACAGAGAAAAATATGTATTATCAGTTCTCAGCAGCGTGGTCGTAAATACACAGGGTGCACTTGCATCACACATTCTGTGCAGTAAAAACTGAGTGCGCATGCTTTGGGTTGGTTAAAATACATATTCAATTTGCGTCTTATTTTAAAAGTATACACTCAAATGATTCCTAAAAAATGTATTTTACTTTGACAGAGTGACAGCTTTTTACAGTGGTTGTCAGAATGGTTAGCTAGGAACTCACAAGGGAAAGACAAATGCAGAGATGAAGAATTATTGATCAAATCTTTAGAAAACAATTAAGAGTTTTTAAACAGGTGTGGTAGCTGATGGCCCAAGCTTGTCTCCAGTCTCAAGTAAAATCTCTTAAGGCAATTTATCAAAGCTCCCTCTGGAGCCATACGAATCTTTATACGACTGTTTTCTCATATGCAGTAGCACTCCCCAAAACCTGTAAACAGACAAACACTGATGTGTGAAATCGGTGAAGTTCCCTCTCTTGGAGTAAAACTTGGAGTGGGCCGTTTAAAGTACTGAGTAATATTATTTTGAAGTTTTTAAAAAGGTAACAGTAAACCATGCAAAGACAATACATCCAAGGTGAAATCAGCGACCTGCTTCAGTAAGAATGTGGTTTAAGTTGTGTGACAGTTGAAGTGGGTTTGTGATGCAAATGTCGACAAACCCACAACAGGATGTTAACGCAAACTGATGCAATGTGCGTCTGCAGAAGCACGGCCACCATGTGACAATGATACACGACTGCTTACATCGCTCCTCAAAAAAGAATGTCATGCTGCCATTTCTGATATATTTTTAATGCAACAGTTATTTTGTTCCCAGTATCTTTGGTGAATGACACAATGAGACAGTACAATTTAGATCATGTCCGTTGCAGTGAAGTAGTAAGGTTACAGCTATAACTGCAGTAATTGGTGTCCATAATGATTGCATTCACCAGTCTACTCTTCCCTCGTGCTTGACTTTGGCTCAGACATTAACATTAACATATTCGATCAACTTCTTTTTCAGTGAAGAAAGAATATTTTTCAAACTTGCCTTGTCAAATACTGTGTTAATGGCCTTTCTGCTCTTTTCTGCCTCTTTCAGTTGGAAGTCAATGATTATTTGAATAATTGGAGCAGCAGGGAAGTCCATGCATACAATTCCAAGGCGCTGGTTCAGGTCTGTCTTGGCCCTCAGGTAGTCGTACAGCTGTGGGTTGACGCGCTGAGCGACGGCTCTGGGGTACGCAAACAAACCAGCTCCACTGCTGAAGGTGAGAAAGATCTGGGCCTGGTTCCCTGCAGGTGCAGCCTCCAGGTGCTCATAGACGCTCTGCCATTTCTCCTTCACATGAATAAGTGTCGGTACCTGCAGGGAACAGCAAAAACAATCATTTTGATTCTTTCTACATTTTTAAGCAGTTTTCGATCCTAACCCTTTGACTGTCATAATCGCTAACTGATCTGTTGTTGTGGCCTTCTCTACATTGCTTGCTCGACAACTGATTCCCCTCAGTTTATCCATGCTGGCTGGAGGATGAACTGGTTCACCTCAAACTAGAATAGCTAAAGCATACTACTCTAGGCTGTAGTTCTATAGCAACCTTCTCTGCTTCATTTCTTTTCTCTTTTTGTTGTGGGCTAGAGTTGGTTTTGATGTGTGTGAAACCGTTGTGAAAACTGAACAAAAATGTTTGAATAATATGTTTTTCGTACACTCCAGTCATCGGCTATGTCCAAGGAACCATAGCGCATCCCCAGGTCTGGCCCGGAAAAGTCTTGCAGAACGATGAGCTTCCCTCGGGCCTCTCCCACGGTCGGCACGAGCCGGCTGTGCCACAGCAGGTCCCAGTTGGTGTGGCGTTGGATGTAGTCAACCACAGCACCGTAGATGTCGTACGTCTCACTGTACTCCTCCTTCAGGCGCATCAGCACCGTCTCACTGGGATACTCTCCGAGGAAGTCGGCCACACCCTCCAGCACGTGGCCGAAGTGCGCCCACTGATAAGACACCCCGTGATGGATGGTGAGGTTCCCCTTGACATGACGGACGCGGACATCTAGGAAGCGGATGCCGGCTCGGAGCTGGCAGGCTAAGCTCCAGGTCTGGCACTCGGCGTAAATGCCACCGTACAGAGCCATGGTGTTGTGGGACCCCGGCATAGTGACTTCAGACAGCGGCTGATCATCGGGGATGCTTGCCATCCAGGACGGGTTGAGGAACTCCGGGTTTGGTGTGTCATCATAGTCAGGTCTCTGAATGGCACCGTGACTCCAACCAATGATTCTAAAAAACAACCAGAAGTCTTAGAATAGATTTTTCTTGTTCTCAGAGAATGTTGAAGGTTGGGAGTCTCATTGTTCATGATGAGGGTGTTTTAAAGCCCTTTAAAACTATAACTGTCAATAGTGGTGATAAAATACTTGTATATGTTTAAGAAATGTCTAAGTTTAAAGAGTTGCATGGCATTAGTTTTTGGATTTCTTGATCATTAGTAAAATAAGAATAAATAATCATTTGTAATTGAATATAATTTAATTGTGTATGCTTTTGTACAGCTTAGTTTGTGTGTTTTTATTTTTGGATATTCATATTTATTTCATATGTATCTATATTGTATTTCATATATTTTAAAGCTTATAGCCTTTGATTGTTGGCTTTGAAATTAACTGTTTTTTTTCTAATTTCTCCTGTTCATTGTTTGCCTTAGTCCAGACCTTTGAATCTGCCCACTCCACCTAGTTTGAGTGAACTGATTAGATGGAAACAGAGTGTGACGAGTTGAAAATGATGTCTGATATCAGGCAAATTCACGATGTGGTAATTTGTAGCTGCTGCGTAAAACTGCCTTTGGGATAAATAAAGTTACATCAAAACACGTGTGAATGAATACATTGGTATTTAGTTTGTTAGAATAATATGTTATCAACGGACACATTTTCAATTTACTCACCCAACTACCACCAACAGCAACATCTTCTGCATTTTCACAGGCTGATGCCGCCCATCAGTGATTGATCAGCTCTGAATATCAGCAGAGCCAATGGCAAGAAAAATACAACTGAGGTCAGCATTTTGGCCAAAAAGATGATATTTTAAGTAGATCAATAAATGATCACTGGTCAACAGAACAATCACGAGCAATAATCAAAACATATTTACATTTATGAATGAGAGGCAGCACATCGTGGCTAAAACTTTAGGTATATTAACATTTGTTTAATATCTGTTGAGAATAAAACAATAAAATTACCAACTCTAATTCTCTCACATGCACCTGCCGATTACTGAAGAAGAAAAACACTTTCCCTTCATTAAAGGTATGTCATCCAATATAAACACAAACTCAGCTCACCCCTCCAGGCCATTTCAATGGCAGGCTTAAACCTTCCTAATCCCAAAACTGAACCAAACCGTCCACTGCTGCTGCGTCAAACCTGCTGATGTGTGGATGTGCTGCTCTCGTCCGCTCCAGTTCATACCTGAAACCAGAAGGTACCCGTCCTCCGTCCTCCGTCCTCCGTCCTCCGTCCGGGTGCCTGGGGAAAGAGAGAGAGGAGTGGAGGGGCTCAGAGGCAAAATGACAGAGGCAGCGTGTCGTCCTGTGATGTTATTGTGGGAAATACCATAGAGGAGCAGCTGAGCTCTATACGTTACAGAGCAGGGGAGGGAGGAGAGGGTTTTGTGTGTGTGTGTGTGTGTGCGTGCGGTATTCATCTGATCACGTTCCTCATTATTTTGTGGTTCAGAAACACACAAAAAAATGTAAAAATCAACTCCTATGAATGAATGGATGTGGTGTTGGGGCTTCTAGCCAGTGTTACAGGTTTCTTTAAGGCCACGGTGAGGATGTTGGCCTTGCTATAACATTTCCATAGTACCTAGTCTTATTTTGAAATAATACAACTCAATGTGTAAAAGGATTGAAAATACAACATTTTATCTGGTCAGTAGAGTGATTTTATAAAGAAAAAAAATATTATTTTAGTTACAACAGCATTCAGTGTTTGTCTCTGTGCATTAACCACAGGTGACTGTTTTCCCACACTGTTTCCTATCAGTTAGTGAAAACCCCAAAATAGGCTCAACATTGATTAGATGTGTGATAATACAAATTTCAATAGATAACTTGTGTAGTTTGATGTAAAAAAAGAAAAAAAATGTAAAGTAGTAAGGTCTACACAACTATTGTTTGCATACAACAGGCTATGTGACAGTTTTAATGAATAGAAAGGTTAAATTTAAAAATAACAGAAACACTGAGAATATCGAATACCCAACAACGACTATATTGTATTTTGTAATTATGTTGTGCAATTAAGTCTTGAAGTTGACATACAGATTCAGTTGGTTTGGTCATAAAGAACCGACATGTGACACATAAACGGTGTTTGTCTTCAACCTGTAATCACCCACAACTGGCTTTTTCATCTTTGGAACTTCAACAGGACATTTTCACATCATCCAGCAAGGGCATCCTCAATCTGTTGCTTTTCAAACAAAGAACAATAGTGAGAAAGGTGTGAAACAAGATCACAGTGATCAACTTGCACTTCAGTTAGACTTTGAAGAAGACACAGCTGTTGCCCAGATGTATGTATTCTTGCTAATTGGATGGTGCAGGCTGAGCAGCGTGCTCCAGTTTCTCTTCTCTCCAGGTTAAAATCCAGCTAGTACTAAAAGAAGTTTGTGAATTTGAAAGGTTTACTGCATTTGTATTATTTTGATGTACTTTAAATGTCCTATACTGTCTGAGTGACACCTTTAAGACAAATGTGCTTGATATTCATGTTTTTGGACGAGCATCCCACAGAATATTTCATCCCTCAGAGGACACGGACTGAGGCAGTGTGAGGTCCTGAGCTCTTGGGCTCAGGGAAAGTGTATCTGATGTGTGTGTGTGTGTGTGTGTGTGTGTGTGTGTGTGTGTGTGTGTGTGTGTGTGTGAGAAAAGTCGACAGATGTTTTCCTGTGTTGTCTCACATGACTACGGGGAAGTCAAATGTTACATAACAGATGTGTCCTTGACCTGTTGAATAATATTTAGTTAGCTGTCAATGATTATAGACAGAACATAATAGAAATTCCTGCAGTTTTTATTAAATAATCAGGCCAGGTGAATTCACGTTAACAGTGGGAACTAATCACGCCTTCTTTGACTTTTACAAGAGCAATGCAAACATCCATTTCTATTAAATATACAGTAAAGCTAATGTAAAAGGGGATATGTGTTTCTCAGCTTAAAGCTATTGATACACTATCCACTATCCTGTTGTCATTGGCGTTTATTAATTTGACATTAATTAATTTGGTTATTGTTTGCTGTTAAAGCATCTAGCCAAGTTGATATAATAAGATATTTTGAGTTAAGGGTCCTTGGTGTGCAGGAAGATGAGGAGGAGGCGGAGTCACGTATTGCTGTGTGCCACAATTTAATTCTTTATACTACCACCAGATGACACCAAGGAGATACATCTTCAAAACCTGGCTTTAGGTTTTAGTGCTCCTACAGAACAAGTAGAAAAGGCTTTAAACAGTTTGTAAAGCACTCCAATACATGCAGATTATGCTTTATACAAATGATAAATTAAGAGTTTGTTGTTATTTTATATTAGCAGGGCATAAATACTAAATAACACAAAAACAATTAAATTAAAACTAAAGGATTTGATTGAATAGAATTTCAATAAAGTCTCATGTAGAAGGTAGAAACCTGAATTGAAAATGGAATAGTATTTTGTATCTGAAACTATGGACGGATACACACACACACACACGCACGCACACACACACCTCCAGAAAAACCAGCTCTTGATACTTCTGTTGAATTTCATTGTATCCCTCTCAGCCTCATTCTCTGCGTACCTTTTGCGAGCTGTACTGAAGGGATGTTTAATGTGCCGCTTACAGTTTATTGTGCCCTTTAGTTGCACCTTATATCCTTATTGTGTATTGGTGGTCACTATAATTATTGCTATTTTATTTACAAAGACTATGTGAAGGGGTGAATGAGAAGCGAACAGTTACGGTAGAAAAGCGTTACATCAGTGCACTCCAGTCCCATTTATATGTTCGGACTGCTTCATGTCACACGCCAACAAGTGCTGGTGCATTTTAAAAACAATCACTGTGGAAACTGATCCTGTTCTGTGACACTGTGTCTGGAAAGCACTGCAAACGAAATTCAATGTATCTCCATTCACTTGTATTTCTAATCCTTGGCAAATATAACGCAATTCATCTGCTTGTCTTGATAACAAAATATATCTTCTGTAATTTGGGTGAACTTTACACCTTTGAACGTAACTGCCGAAAGACTTTATAATATGTATGTCTGGACATAAAATATGGAATATTATCAACTTTGCTATGTTTTTTAATTCAGTTTGACGCGTAATGTAAATAAAGTCTTCACAGCATTATCAGTGGAACTCAGAAAGTGATTGTTTCCTGGTTATAAAGTGAGACATTGTCTAATAATAGCTGGTATCTGGTCAACCATTGTAGATTGGAAGGTGTGGCGTAAAACAACACAATGAAAAGCTTACCCTGTCATTCAGTGCATGTGATCAGAGCTGGCAGCCAGTGCATCTGGAGGAACTCCCCTCATCCAATCAGCACAGGGCATGCAGGAGTCACTTCCTTGTGCTCACTCCCTTATTTGGCAGGAAGGGATATCCTTATTGACTAGGGAGGAAAATGGTGGAAAGGAAAGTCAGACGGCTTCAGTAGACAGAGTGATTCCGGCTGTTTAATCTCTGGTGAGTAAACATCTTTCATATCGTTGCTTTCTAATCTCTGACCTGCAGGATGTTTTAAACTGTGTGATAACTGAGGCAGCTACTGACGGATGAAATGAAAGGAAAAGATGGTTGATTCATGTGCATCTGTGGGACTGTAAATGAGGAAATGAGAGAAACAGGCTCTAAAACAAACAAAGTAATACATCCCCAGCTAATGTTCAAGGTGCCAAATAGCCACTGGAGGTTATCTGAATTGATAAAGATGATTAAACAAAGGTCACCACACGTAACCATTTGTTTATTTCCTGTCTTTCTTGTGTTACTATGAAGACACACCCACTGTGGTCCCTGAGTTATTTTTCTTGCAGGATAACATTGTGAAGGATGATTAATGTCAAAACTATGAGAAAGATGCATCACAGATAGCTTTCAGTCAGAAACTAGTTGTAGATTTCTATCATGCTGAAATTAAGTGCTTTTTTATATTAACAATATGTCAAGTTATTTCTCAAAACACAATACTTGTTTAAGTTTGAACTGAATGCTTAATTCTGACCTTGGGAATGCCAACAATGTAACCGGTGTGTATATTTTCTGGTTCTAATTTTTTGCTATTGAACTAAATATCTTTCATGCTGTTGTTTGAACATAATAAGCAATTCTAATTCACAACAGATGAATCAATAACAAAACTATTGTTTACTTTAAACCCAAGTTTCCTCCTCATGATGAAGCTCTGTGTATCCCTGCAGACAACATGAGCCTGCATGTGACCAGTTGCCAGTAACATTAGACCGTAAGAGGACACCTTCTACTATATGGCTTTTGTGCAGCAGCTGGTGACATGTGGGCTGTAGCACCAGCAACCTGAGAGTTAGCCATGAGCGTCATTTTTAGGGTATTGCAAAGACCCTCTGTGCACAGATTCAGTCTAAAAGACATACTAGATATATTTGTGATCTACTTTAAACATATTGTTTTGTTATTTTTCTCTCTCCAGCCTATAAACTTACTTTGTGTCTAACATTATCGTGGCAGAGGAAAAGCAGCAGTAATGGCTGATGCAGAAAAGATCAAGAAAACTGCAGTCAAGGTGCTGTGCTGCGTGGAAAAGGTGTCCTCCTTCGCCTCCTCCATCGACCCCATCTTTGGCATAGTCTCCTCCCTGGTTGGGGTGGCTCGCAAGGGCCTTGATACGAACGAGGGCCACGCTCTAGACAAGGAGTTCCAGCCGCTCCACTCCAAACTGGAGACCATCTCTGTGAAGAACCAGCAATGCCTGAGGCAGATCCGCATCGACGAGGTGAACGAGACCTATGGCAAGTACGAGGAGTACATTAAGCACCAGTACACTGCCTTCAACAACATGGTGGCACAGGTGAAGAAAGATCCAGACAACGCCCAGCGCTACATGGAGGCCTTTGAGAAGATTTACGAGAGGGACAAGAGCGACATGAGCCTGGATGTGTACTACCGCGGCGTGATGGGTACCAATCTGCTGTTTGGAAGACCTCTGCTGAAGGTGTACCTGGACAACTGCGACGGCGACCGGGAGATCATGGAGCGCCGCTGTTCACACATCACCCACCTGTTCCACATGGGCCTCATCGCCCTCATGGCCTACACAGCTGTTACGGAGGACGACGAGGACGAGGTGCGGGGGAAGTGGGGCAAGAGGGTGGAGGACATCCAGGACAAGATGCAGGAGGTGCTCAGCCAGTGCAAAGACAAGTCGTTCTGAACACGGACCATCAGAGAGAACAATGTCTACTCTCAGCTGTGGACCAATGAAAAAAAAGACAAAATATGTTATAATATATTTATATATATCGTAATAAAACCAAAGCCATGCTTTCATTATCATTCCTATTGCAGCATATTAGTTATTGTATCGACATTGTGTATCGTTGTTTTTGTTTCAAAGAGACCACTGCATGTTTCAGTTGTGTTTCTTGCCAATATATGCTGACGTTTTATACAATCTCTTCAATTAAAATGCACTAATTATTAGTCGAATAAAGTTGTATATTTGTGAAGTCCATTTCATCCACACTAAAACCAACAATCTATATTTAAAAAGAACATGAGTAGCAGTAAAGGTTATGAGGCTGTGTATATCGCTATAGCTCTGAATTCAACATGGATGAATACTTTGTATCCATACAACACAAACAAACCGCCCTCTTCTATAAATAACATCTCTTCATACTTCTGTTGAATATACCTAATGTTAAACCGAGCTACATGAAACTGCTTTCGAGATGACACAAGATAAACAATAAACTCATGAAAACGATTTGATTCCATTCCTTAACTTCAATGTTGAATATTAAACGTGGTAGAAAGATGGCTGTCAACAGGTTTGTGTCTAACAATATTTAAGGAAATTCAATACGGGGTAGGACAATGCAGATTAGTTTAGCATAGCATAATGTGTCTGAAACAGGGGGAAACAGCATGGCTGGCTCTGTCCAATGGTAACAAAATCTACGTGCCAACACCTCTAAGCCTCACTAATTAAAACTTAGTATCTCATTTGTTAAATCTTCACACCTTATAAGGGGGTTATGTTTCAGACTATTCCTTGACAGGGAGTACTGGAGCCACTCAGAGTCAAGAAATTGTTCAACATAGCCCCCGTAAAAAAACAAAACCTTTAACTTGTTAAGTAATCATTTTTAAATATGCTAATAGGCAGATATTGTAACTGCAAAGCTTGCATGTTTCCCCTTTATTCAGTCTTTGTCCTAAAGTAAGCTAACCAGCTGCTAGCTGCAGCTTAATAGCTTAAACTCAGTGGTGTCAATAAAGAGGAAATAGAGAAAACTCTCACAAATATCAGCAGCGTTAATTGAATGTCTTTTGCTATTATATACTTTATCTTTCTAAAATGTATTCGAAAAAAACAGCTATTGATTTTTAGGGGATTTAGCAAGTAGATTCAGTTATTAAATACTAAACACCTGTAATGACAACATTTAACAACAAAGCTGCCGCACTGAGTCCTCCGTTGTCCGACTGTACTCGCTGTCATGAAACGTAACACGACTCCTCCGTTTGTGTCTGCAGCCCTGCCCCAATTTACAGGCCCGCGCGACTACTGCAACACAAATATCCACTCCGGGAGTTTACCCGGAGCTGTCTTTAGTCTGTTACATTTAACACGCTAAAACTCCACGAGAGCCCGGAAGAGTTGTGTTTGGTCTGAGTGAGGGGGGAAAAGTCACGTCGCTTTCGGTAAGTTTCATCTGCTCAACGAGCGGAAAAGCGGTGATGATGAACGTAGCATCCGGGCTACAGCTGCTGATTCAGTCCAGAAAGTTGATCGTGTTTATTGTGGACTAGAACAAGTGTCCATACCGGTTTGACACAGCAGGTGGGTTTAGTTTAAAACATAGCATATGATATAATTAGGGAGATAACTGTTTATAGTCAACAGAGTCTGGTTTCCGGGGCGTAACCTCCCTCTGAACTCAACAAGTTGGTTTGTGAGCTGAATGTCACTCCATTACTTCATGTACAACACTTGTAAAACCTGAGATCTGCATGGCAGATACCTGTGAAATGCATTACTATAACACTTTCACAATGCATGATAGAAGTTGCTATGTAATATGATGTCTTAACCACAGTCATGAGGCAACACAGGCGCCTTCACTGTACAATGTTCAAATGTCGAGACAGAGAAAAGCAGCCAATCCCTACATTTGAGAAGCTGAAATAAGACAGTTTGACATGTTTGCTTGAAATATGACATACAAATCAAATAAATTATCAAAATAGTTTCTGATGAATTTTATGTCAAAAGATGAATCAAATTATAATCAGCCTAAATTATTGAATAAAGCGTCAGACGACATTCCCAAAGCGTCATCAAATTTCTGTTATTTCGTTATTGGGTTTATACTTTGACGTAAACGAGGTCTTATAAGCATGAAGTGAGTGACTTATCTCAACACATTTATCCCCCCTCTGATCTTCTACTTCAGGGATGCCTCTCCACAGCATTTGGCCCACGTGCAGAAGGTCTTGTCGGGACTGAGAAAGAGTCGGCAGTATGGGCAACAAGGACACCCTCGAGGATGTGTTCGTTGCCGTCATCCGCCCAAAGAGTCAAGTCAGCCTGAGCTCAAAGGAGTACAGAGCCAAAGCCTATGAGGTAAGTGTGACAGCCTGTGGCCTCAACATGTAAACCAAATGTTAATCATAGGAAATCTGAAATAAAACAAAGGGAAGGGACATTACAGAAGCTTAATGTAGAGTTTGTTAGTTTAAAACTGCTTTGTGTAGTTACTGTACAGCTGTCAATAAGCAGACTTTCTTGAATTCTTGAAAATAATGACATATCAACCAACAATATATTTTCTCTGAACCCATTTATAACTTAAAGTTTCCATCTTGCCTCCGGGTCTTGTGCAGATCCTGCTGATTGAAGTGCCTTTGGAGGGGAAGGAGAAGAAAAGAAAGAAAGTCCTTCTGGCCACAAAGATCCAAGCAGCAGGAGACAAATCCAAATCCATATTGGATTATGTTGACGAAACAGTCAGACCGATATCCAACAACCAAGGCTTCATCGGTGAGTGTGGGACGTATGTGACATTCGCACTCATGCATATTTATAAGACGTCATTTAAACCAGAGGCTTGCAACCTTTGTGGCTTGGGACTCTTTAAAGTGAAGGAAAAGCCTACTCGTGACCCCTTGTTGTCACAGGCTGCACATGTTTGAGTTGACCTCTAACATTGGGAGTCACGGATGTAAACACCATTTGGGGTTTCAGGAAAGCGTGTGGTGCATATGAAGAAATTCCACCTCGATGAAGGAAAGGAGGCCTCGCTTTTTGTTGTGCCAGTCAGTGTTAAAGGTGAGCAAAAAACAAAGACTCTGTCTCAGAGATTGTAAAACATAGTTTACATATTGTATATTAATAAATCCCTCTGAACAGACAACAGCAAGCCCGTGTACAGCGCCGGGAGCCCGAGCTTCTACTGCTTCCAGGACATCATGCGGGTGTGCAGCGAGACCAGCGCTCACTTCTGCCCCGTCACCTCCAAGATGCTTCTGGCTTTAGACAAGTGAGGATGCGTTTGAAAAGACGGTGTTCTCGGATGAGGCCTCTGGGGACGGCGAGCTTTAACGTTTGCCTCTTCTGACCTCCGCAGGTGGTTGGCGGAGCAGCACAGCGTGCCTCACGCCGTCCCCGCTCTGTTCAGACCGGCACCCGTTGAGCGGGTGAAGACCAACGTCAGCAACCCGGCCTACAGCAGCGAGGGCAAACTGAGTGACGAGGGTCTGCACATGGGCTACACTGCTCTGGAGATCAAGAGCAAGATGATGTCCCTGGAGAAGGCCGACATGTGCATCCTCAACCCGCTTTACGGCTCCGACCTGCAGTACACCAACCGGGTGAGTCAGCTTACTTTTAGAAGCAGAAAATGGATGGGGAGTGGACATGTTTGATGTCAATTATCGAGGGAGACTGGTTGTCTGAAAAGTAGAAATAATTAAAAAATAAGTGCCCTTTGTTTGTAATGTAGGCTTGGAAAATGTGGACTAATCAAACCTCCCTTTTGTTACTCCTGCTCGTCTGGCTTTTTGTTTGCAGGTGGACAAAGTTATCATCAACCCGTACTTTGGGCTCGGGGCGCCCGACTACTCCAAGATCCAGATCCCCAAGAGGGAGAAGTGGCAACACGGTCCTAACTGTGTGGCAGAAGACAAGTGAGGGGTTATTCTTTCAACCTTGTTGTTATTGTTGTTGTTGTCATCCCCTGTTAACTTCTGCTCCTCTTTGGGTCTCATTTCTGTGTGTCACAGGTTTGCTCATGACCTTTTATAAACCTTTTCCCGACTCCCCTTTCCTTCTTTTTCTTTCCATCTTCAACATCATGCAAAAAAAAGAAATTATATTAATAAAATTCTCTGCAGGGAGCGTCAGTGGGTGGATGACTTCCCCCTCCACCGTAGTGCCTGTGAAGGAGACACGGAGCTGCTGTCTAAGCTCCTGGACAGCGGTTTCTCAGTCAAGCAGCTGGACAGCGACCACTGGGCTCCCATTCACTACGCCTGCTGGTGAGTCCGACTCCCAACTCTCAGCACGGGAGAGTCCGAAGCATCCAGAAGGTCTTATCTGCTCGGATTCTGGTTTGTCTCGGTAATGACGACTTTTGGTAAAGTTGAGTTTGGTTCCACCCAGGCACGGTAAAGTGGAGGCGACCAAGCTGTTACTGGAGAAAGGTAACTGCAATCCGAACTTGCTGAACGGCCAGCTCAGCTCTCCTCTGCACTTTGCAGCCAGAGGAGGCCACGCGGAGATAGTGCAACTGCTGCTGCAGCACCCCGAGATTGACCGGGTACGAAACATGCACTACTCTCCAAAGATGTACAAAACATGTTGATTTTTAATACCAGGAAAAAGCAGAAAAGAATAAAAAAAATGTATCTATTGTAGAGAGAGAACAGAGAAAAGCATTGTGACTCCTCAACTACTTTTATATTTGATTTACTTGAATTGTCTAATCTGTGACATTAGTACATTTTATCTCACAAGAGGATAACCAGTAAACACTAACTGACTTTTCTGCCACCAGCACATAGAGGACCAGCAGAAGAGATCGCCCCTTCAGGTGTGTGAGGAGAACAAACAGAACGAATGGGAGGAGACGGTGAAGCTTCTGCAGCAAACCAGCAGCAAACCTGTGAGTCACACGTCAGACGCTTTAATTACTGTATTTGTGTTGCAAAACATGCTGATCTCACACAGCTTCCACTTTGCTTTGGCTGGTCGTGTCTTTAAAGTGATGAAAGACGTGTATATGTGTTTATGTTTTTTTTACATGGTTTTGTCCGTAATGAGAGCCTTTTGTGGTAAGACACTTATGAAGTGTTTATTACTTTATCCAAACATACTCACACACTCAAGTACACTACACTTCTCCATAAAGGTTTTCTTTTGTAGAGGAATTGTAATTCCCTAATTGAAGTGCTTACATATATTAAAGTGGTCTATGTGCTGGAGTTTTTTTTGACATATTTCTGTGGCAGTCTGCTGCTCACGAACTAGATGGTGCTACCTCCTAAAGCATAGTCCGAGCTGTGCTGCAGATTTCAATGAAAAGTTATTTTATTTTTCAACAGAGAACTAAGCTGTCTGACTCGATTTTGTTTCGTGGTGCGTTTGTGCGTTCCACAGTACGAGAAGGTGCGCATCTACCGCATGGACGGCTCGTATCGCTCCGTGGAGCTGAAGCACGGCAACAACACGACGGTGCAGCAGATCATGGAAGGCATGCGTCTGTCACAGGACACCCAGCAGTACTTCACCATCTGGATCTGCTCAGAGAACCTCCGTGAGTTCGCTCAGAAGACATGTCCCTAAAATCTCTCTTTTTTTTTTTATGTCAGAAAAGTTTGATCGGATGATATTTAGTCCTTTAGAGTCTAAGAAGACAAAATCTTTGTGTCTTTCAACCTCAGAATTTTTTAACATAATGTAAAAAAGCAACCTTTTTTGTTTTTATAATCGTTGCTAAAAAGAAGACTGAGGCAGCATTTGGTGTGCATTTGTGTGTGTTAGACCTGCAGCTGAAGCCGTACCACAAGCCCCTGCAGCACCTGCGGATCTGGACAGAGATTGTGACGGACCTGACGGTGCTGGATCCTCAAAGGGAAACGCCTCAGCTCTTCCTCCGCAGGGACGTCCGGCTGCCTCTCGAAGTTGAGAAAAAGGTAGCTCAATTTGTATTGTACAAGAAGCTGCTTGATTATAGCCTTGAAATGTGTTAGTTAAGTTACTGCTCGCCGTTTTGTTCCAGGTGGAGGACCCTCTGGCCATCCTCATTCTGTTCGACGAGGCGCGGCACTGCCTCCTGAAGGGCTTCTTTCCTGCTCCGGACAGCAAGCTGATCACACTGGCCAGCCTCCTCCTGCAGATCATATACGGCAGCTATGAGAGCAAGAAGCACAAGCAAGGGTTCCTCAAGTAAAACACAGTTTCACTACACATTTCAACCTAATATTGCACTGCCCTCATATATGTGAACCTCTTTGCTGAGTTGTTGTGTGAAGTAAATATCTGTTGTGTTTTGTTTTCAACAGTGAGGAAAACCTGAAATCAATTGTGCCGATATCCAAAGTGAAAAGCAAAGCGTACCACTGGACCAACAGGATTCTGCATGAATACAAAGTACGCCGGACGTATTCGTTGTAGAAATTCCTTTCTTAGCCTTTTAGAATGAAATCCCACTGCTGGCTTCATGGACAGGCTGTTTCTCTACCCTCTCTGACAGGCCCTGAGCACCAGCGAGGGGGTGAGTAAAGAGATGCACCACCTGCAGCGACTCTTCCTGCAGAACTGCTGGGAGGTCCCGACCTACGGGGCGGCCTTCTTCACGGGCCAGGTCTACACCAAGGCCAGCGCCAGCAACCACAAAGTCATCCGCGTCTACGTGGGGGTCAACACAAAGGGGCTGCACCTCATGAATATGGAGACCAAGGTATCCTCACCTTTTATTCAAGGTTTTAAATTTCAACTCTTCTTCTTATTAAAATGAATAAATTAAAGATCTTGAACATCAGAACTCGCTTAAATATATTCAAAAAATAATGTAAATGTTTATTTCTTCTTCTTCTTCTTCTTCCAGGTCCTTCTCATCAGTTTAGAGTTCAGCACATTCATGTGGCAGCTTGGGCACGCCGACCAGTACTTCCAGATACACAGCGGGGACAATAAAATGAACTTCATCGTGCACACAAAACAGGTAACTCTTCCAGGACGTTTCCTAAACTTCTCCAAACGGCTCAAAGTTGTTTGAAGAATATTTTATACAAATAATCAGAGTGCATTTATACGGCAGGATATTTTGATGTTGAATCATAAACACTGCCTCACTTGTGTTCATTATTTCCTTACAGGCTGGCCTTATTGTGAAGCTCTTGATGAAGCTCAGCGGACAGATGACACCAAATGATAAAAGCGTCACGGACAAATATGCCTACGGCTGAAAAGCTGTTGAAGAATCCTCAGCTGCCATAGATCCCCGGGCAGGTTCTTCCTACTGACTCTCAACTGACTGCAGAGGAGCAAAGTCTCTCCACCAGCGCCTCATTTTGTATATTAGGCTGATTGATATCTTTTACAACCTCACATTGTGTATTTTGACAAGTCATATATTTTGAGTGCATGTAAATATGTTTATTTAATGTTGTTTTAATAAACTGATATATGAAGGAGCATGTATTTGGAGTTTGTGTTGTAAAAATTTGAACCGCATTATGTTTTATTAATATAATAAATTAACTTAAGTGATTATTAACTTAAGTGATTAATCTTATGAAATATTAGGCCGATGCAGAATTATAACATGACCCGCTGAGGCAACCAGCTGTGAATTGAGGGAAGTGAAATAATAAGGAATGATGTGGATTGTTGAAATCCTTAGAAAATAATTTTGAGTATTGATATAGAGGATGCAACCATGACACAAACTGGTTGTTAATAAGCAAGATGTGCATATATTTTGTGCATCTTATCTCACGATAAAGCAAGGAATCTCTGTGGATATCTGGAGAACCGCTCAACCCATCTACTTCACACTTGGCGGGGGTGTATTGCGAGGATGTTGCTTTTTCGAATTTGGAGCCAAACGCGACACATTCTCCGGTTAGCAGCTGAGGCTGAGCTTCAAGTCTCTGCAGAGAGTCCAGCATGTCGTCCGCAGCGGGCAGACAAGCGGCTCTTTGCAGTTTAATTTGGCTGCCAAAGCTAAATGAATGCTGGATAATGTAACAAGTGAACTTTTCTTCACTTCCCTGGAGCCTACAAGGAACAGCGCCACTCTATCCTTGCAATGCAAATTGTGTACTTGTGTAACTTATAACTTAACCGCCATTCATTTAAAACACTCTACTTTGTCACCATCGTTGTTGTATCAAAGCAAGCTACTATTATTAGCCTATGTCTTATTTAATATGCTGCAGCCAGTACTACTTGCACGATATTGTGTTTTTTTCCCATGGCGTGAGTAAGTTTCCCCGCTGTAAGACTTAATACAAACTTATAACACCAAAAACGTTACCGCCAGCAAAATATCTCCGCGGATTGAATCCATGCTCTACTTTATAACTGTGGTGGAAATGAACTCCGCTGAGGGTATTTCACCGCTGTTTCCAACCATGAACCCTGACCTGAATATGTGTTTTCAGGCCTGGAATTGGTGAATTGAGGCCTTACGCAAACACAGTCATGCTTTCTTTTCACACGTTCTCTAACAGGGAATGTGGATATTCTAACGTTCCACAAATGTTCGTGGGACGTTGTTTTCCTAACGTTCGCGTGACATTTTTCAAACAATCACAGAGCGTTCCCCAAACCGCTTTAATGCAACAATTATTGGTTCAATGATCCACAAACGTTGCCTGAAGGGCAGGGTTAATGTGGTAGAGCTTTCAGTTCTATTATGCTGGATAGCTCAATGAATAATAATGTATCATATTCTAATTGTTATATTTTGTGAGTCAAATCGGAATCTGCAATGTAACCAGTAACATTTCTCCGTCAGGTAAATGTAGTACTACAAGGTTTCTTTTCTCTGAAGTAGAAACACACAGTAAGTAGCAGACTAATCAGCTTAGTTGCAAGCTTCTGTAAGTTATTTCAGAGTACAATGAGTTAGAATAGTAACATAATAAAGAAATCATATTATATAATAAGTCTATGGCTGTTTAGGGCCCTTTTAGTTGGGGGTCCTCATGCCCAGTTTGCCTATCTTGCCTTATGGCAACGGTCACATTTCTTCTGGTGAACCAGACTGTTTCTGAACGTGAGCAGCTGCGACTTGGGTGTGTGATGCAACTATGTCATTGTGTATTACTGAGGACCCAGAGAAGCGCAGTGTTGAGTGGGAAGCTATTTGTATGAGCAGGGACTGCACTAGTATAATATGCAGCATAATGCTTATGTTGTGTGGCTCATTGTGGCTAAATGGAAAGCCCATGTCATAAAATGTAAATCATAAAGCCTACTTTATACCATGTTCTCTCAGTCTATGTGCCAGATAGCTTTTTCATATTTTATTCGGTCAAAAAGAAACTTTTTAAACCACTCGCAGTATTATCCAAGAAATCAGTGTTGATGACGCAGACTGTGTTGGTGCTGCTGGAGTGACATCATATAGCAAGACATCGGTTCAGGCGCCGGCAGCCAATCACAGCGGCGGCTTCTTGACGGACACGCGGTCAGCAGCCAATAGAAAGCCTCCGTTAGTCAGGCGGGGGCGGGGCGAGTATTGACAGGTAGAGCCAATAGGGAAATATTACCAACGGTCCGCCAACATCAACGTCAGATGCACTGGACATTTACCGGCTGCAGTGGGACTGTTGTTCAGAGAGGAGGACGTTAAAATGTCTTTCCACTTGTATGAAATGAGCAGTAAACTGCTCGGGGACACTGTTGGGACAATGAACGACAACCTGACCTCCGTGGTGCTGGCAGCTTCTGTCGTCACTCTCACTCTGGGATATCTCTCCAAGTTGCTGCTCAAACCGTCCTCTGACAATGATCTGGTAAGTCAGACAAACCTGCCAAAATGGTTGTTGAAATTGCCAGCTCGTATTCATATTGCACTCTTACTTATCGTGTTTCTTTTTTGCAGAAATATCCACCATACATCCCCTCCAGCATCCCCTTCCTGGGTCATGCCATTGCGTTTGGGAGAAGCCCCATTGAATTTCTTGAACATGCTTATGAAAAAGTAAGTGTTGCAGTAAGAATGATAAAACAAATTCACTGTTCCAGTTCTTCTTCTATGATATAAAACTAAATGTTCTGGACTGTTCGTCACAAAACAAGCTATTTGAATATACCTTGAGAAACGATATGTTTTATCTACCAAATGATTGATCAATTTATCGAGAAAGTACTAGACGGGTTTATTGGTAATGAAAATGAGTGTTAGTTTCAGCCTTATGTTGCGTTTTGCACACAAAAGAAAGCTTGCCTCTACCTTATTTTACCTGGCACACGTACACACCTGCCTAAAGACAACACAAAGTCTACTTGTGACACCAGTATGGACGTGGTTTATGACCAGCAAATAAAATACAAATAAATTCCATTTAAATAAGTCTTAGAAGCCGTAAAAAGCTGAAATTACACGTGAAAAAAGCTAAAACAGTAGAGGAGTTAGATTAATTGTCTTGCAACATCTCAGATTTCTATTGTCATAACCCCTCCAGTTGTGTTTTAACCCTTGCGTCTCTGCTGTCCACGCACAGTACGGCCCTGTATTCAGCTTCACCATGGTGGGGAGTACGTTCACCTACCTGCTGGGCAGCGAAGCAGCCACGCTGATGTTCAACAGCAAGAATGAGGACCTGAACGCAGAAGACGTCTACTCCAGACTGACCACTCCAGTGTTTGGCAAAGGAGTAGCTTACGATGTGCCGAACCCTGTGAGTAAAATCACATATATCAACAAGCAAAAGACAAAAGAAATAAGATCCAACCAGGTTAATAAATGCTAAAGAAAAAGCCTGAATATTGCAGCTATAATGCATGCTTTCTTTAATGTGTTTGCAGATCTTTCTGGAACAAAAGAAGATGTTGAAGACCGGACTGAACATTGCTCATTTTAAGGAACATGTGAAAATCATTGAGGCAGAGACCATCAAGTATTTTCAGAGATGGGGAGACAGCGGGGAGAGAAGTAAGATCCTTCACAAATAACTTGATTAAAACATGAATATTACAAAATGAACAAGTGACATAATTCACTTTTAATCAGACTACTTCCAGCTTGTTTTGGTTTCTTTAACCCAACGTTTTGTGGAGTTTGTAAAGTTTGTAACTTAAGTTATGATGAGTTGTGCAGCCTTATATTGAGTCCAAACCAGCACAACCTGCATTACCCGTAAAACTGACTGAATTCACTTTTTTTGTTTGTTTCAGACCTGTTTGAGGCCTTGTCTGAGCTGATCATCCTGACGGCCAGCAGCTGCCTTCACGGGAAGGAGATCCGCAGCATGTTGAATGAGCGAGTGGCCCAGCTCTACGCCGACCTGGACGGAGGATTCAGCCACGCTGCCTGGCTCCTGCCCGGCTGGCTGCCGCTGCCCAGCTTCAGGTAGGACACGTCTGTGGAAAGAAAGACGTTGCCGAAAACATAAACTGGAGCGATGGCACAAGAGAAGTCCAAACATTTACTGGAACGGTCATTCAAAGAAGAAAAACCAATCCATACATAAACACGATTTTTCAGATGTACAGTATGTTCACCATCCCACCTGACTGGACTCTACCTCATATGAGAATGTATTTAAAATGATTGAATAATAACACAAATGTTACTATTTTTCTTTGCTTAGGAAAAGGGACAGAGCTCACACAGAGATCAAGAACATCTTCTTCAAGGTGATTCAGAAGCGCAGACAATCTGAAGAGAAGGTGGACGACATGCTGCAGACCCTCGTCGACGCCACCTACAAGTAAGATAGCTTCAGTGTCCGAGGACAAACGTGTCAAATGTAAGCTCATGCTGCCGGATCACCTTTTTAGCCTTTTCACATTTAAATACATTATTATTATTAAATCTAGACTTTTTAAGATAAAATAAAAAACAACCTTTCTCGACCTTCGTGACTCTTTTGTAAGCTGCAGGATGGTAGAATTTTCTAAATTTATTTTAATTTTTTAAATTTTATTTATTGTACATAATATAATGCTTTTTTGTGATCTGGTAAACCAGATTACATCACAATGGAAAAGTGATATCTCAGTGTTAAGTGTCTGTCGCTAAAATGACCATCAGAGAAAAACAGTAAATAGTCAGTAAAGGTGTTTGTAAAAAGCTCTCTGCTAAAACATTTAAAACATGATTACGGCCCTTTAAACCCTCACCAGTTCTGAAAATGACCCTGTTCACTCCTCAGAGACGGACGACCCCTGAACGATAACGAGATCTCGGGGATGCTGATCGGTCTCCTCCTGGCCGGTCAGCACACGTCCTCCACCACCAGCGCCTGGATGGGTTTCTTTCTGGCCAGAGACAAAGCTCTGCAGGAGCGCTGCTACGCCGAGCAGAGGGCCGTGTGTGGAGAAGGGCTGGAGCTCGACTTCGATCAGGCAAGGCTGACTGTACCGTGTGACAGTACAACATTGTATCATATCATTTGCAATGAAATCATAAGTCACAATGTCGAGTGACCAAACACGAGGTGCTCCCCCTCCTGGTTGAAGTGACTTATAAGGAACATTGTGTGACGAGGTTTTCAGGCACCTGCAGTTACATTGATTGTAGTCATTAACACTACAATCATCAATACAGATCACATTTTCTTAAAGAAAATACAGCAAAAGTCACAGATTTAGCATCAGAACAGACTATCTGCTGCCTTCTGCCACCGACTGAGTAACAGCTACTGAGAATTACAGATACGCTTCAAATGTTTTCTACTGTTGTAAGTGTTCCTCTGGGCTGTTCTTAAGATTAAACTAAGTAACAGTCTGTTAATCCTTGTATTGTCCTGTTGTCGTCCTCAGCTGAAAGATCTCAGCTTGTTGGAGCGCTGTTTGAAGGAGACCCTGCGTCTCCGCCCGCCTATCATGACCATGATGAGGATGGCTCGCTCTCCACAGGTAAGAACACCCGTCTAGTTTTTTGGGGTATTTCTTTTTACAATAGCTAAAAAGAAAATAGTTTCCCCTTTTTCATTTTAATGCCCCATTTCTCAGCACGGCGTATGTTTTTCTACTTCGTTCTCTCAGACTGCAGCAGGATACACCATCCCTGTGGGCCACCAGGTCTGCGTCTCCCCCACCGTCAACCAGCGTCTGCAGGACACCTGGGTGGAGAGGATGGAGTTCAGCCCTGACCGCTACCTCAACGACAACCCTGCTGCGGGGGAGAAGTTCGCTTATGTGCCGTTTGGAGCCGGTGAGAAATAATCTGTAACTTAGTGAATACAGTGTCGTTTCAGGAAATAAGTTATTTCTCACTAATTAACATGACAAATGGGCTCAATTGTGTATCATCAACAAATTGCTATTGAAGTTCATGTGCTTTCACAACTTGTACTTCAGTTTGCTTTCTGTTTTATGTTTTTGATATTAGCTCTTGAGCACACTAGAAACTAAATTATATTCAAGAAATTCTGAAAAAAAAAAACTCCAAATCCAAACTGAACCTCTGTCGTCTGCTCTTCAGGTCGCCATCGCTGCATCGGGGAGAACTTTGCCTACGTCCAGATCAAAACCATCTGGTCCACTTTACTGCGCATGTACCACTTTGACCTGGTGGACGGATATTTCCCCACAATCAACTACACCACGATGATTCATACCCCTCACAACCCCGTCATCAGATACCAGAGGAGAAAACAGTGAGAGGCGGGAAGAGCAAAGACACGAGGCAACTGTCCAACATCCCGAGTGTTTGAACTGAAGCTCTGACGTCCTGGGACTTGAATTTAGGAACATTTCGATGAACACTCTTTGCGCTGCTTGAATGCCCAACCGTTCAGATTTCGTGCTTCTTTCAGAACTCCTTAGCCCTGAATGTCAACAATTGTTGAAACTTGTGTTTCCAGAGATGATTACACCGACTGTGACTCTGACTTGAACACATACACTAATATTCACAATGTGAATTCTTAAAAATAAAAAATGGTCAGAAATAAGGTTACTTGATGGAGGGGAAACATCTGTTGAGTGAATGAAGCCCAAGCAAGTTTTATTCGGTGAATAACTGTAAAACACGGCGGTCCATATTCTAGATTGGTTTGGGTGGAAGCTTGAGTTTTCTTTTTAGTAGTTATCCAGTGAACTTTATGTCTGTGTCATTAGACAGGCAAGTGAAATTGCGGCCTTTGTTGCATTAAACACATAGAAATAAAACAATAAGCTTAACAGCACCCTCTGTAAACAGCTGTAAGCCCCTAGTGCACAGAGACTGAATTAAGAATCAGCTGTTGTGGGATGTTGCCACACTGTCGGATCATTTTCCTTCAAAAATATCTCAAATCTTAAAATAAACTAAAACAGCATATTTGAGGACTTAAACTTTGAACAAAGTGTTTTAAAGGTCACCTGTACTAATTAAGAACTTTCCACCTGGACCTCGTTGAGTTAACGAGCACTGATGACAGCAAGTTAAACTGCACAAGCTGCTTTGTTGTTCATAGGATTTGAATCAAACTTAAATGTCTTCTCATTAAAGAACATATTGTGCTCATGACATTTGGTTCATTTAGTCCCTTTTGTGATGTTAATGTTTAATTCCTTCTTTCAATAAAGAAACTGGAAAAAATCAGCTCCAACACTTGACACCAAATTTAATGAATAACTACATTTCTGTACAGCAACCCTTATCTTTTGTCAGTGGACATGAAGAAGAAATGAAGAAATGAAAAAATACACAACTCTTTCAAATAATGTAGTCCTCTTTATTTCAGTTTTTGACAAAATACCCAGAAAATTCAACGCTCCTACGCTTTACAAAAATACGTTCTCTACAAATGTCCTCTGTAGTCCGTCTGGCCTAAACAAAACACAGTGTAGTGTAGAATAACCAGTAGCAGCCTCCTTAATGATAAACCCAAACATTCTCTACACAACGCTCCACCCATACAACACAAACATAAATTAATCACATGGTCTTAAATTAGCATTTGACAAATATACATGATTACAGTTCATCCACAACAAAGAGGCAGATTCATTTACAAACAGCCGTTTTTTTTAAGTGCTGGCGACAAAAAGCCTGAATACAACATGTCGTACACTAATAAAAAAAACGTGTTTTGGTCCACATGGAAAGATACAGTCCACACCAGAATGATAGAAAACAGCAGAGTGCTCAGCACGAGAAAAGGCAACCGAGTCTCTTCAAGCCAACATAACATGGCAGCGTCTACCTTCTCAAGCCAAAGTGCAATTGAGCATACGAAGAAGCACCTGCGGAGAGAATAAAAGGTAGTTAGGTAAATTTCAAAATTACTTTATAGAGTTAAAACAACTGAAAATATGAAGATACTGACACAGTAATTAATGGATAATCAACACACATTTAATAATGCCAAACAATGTGTTTGTTTGTGTGTGCCTGTGTGAGAAAGTGTCTTTCGGCTGTTTATCAGGTTAATGAGGGCATTCCTTTTAGTATGAAACCGTTACATATGCTGATTTCGTGTTTACTAAATGCAAACCGGTCTACCTGAAGTCACATTCCCCAGCCTCCTCTGCAGCGCCTCCAGTCTGGAGATGTAGTCGGTGAGCGCTCGGTCGGGGTCGTAGCTCTGCAGGTGGGAACAGGTGAGAGCTCCGTGGTCTCCGGCCGTGTGAAACCTACACAACACAGACCTTTCAGCATCAGAACTGACACAGTATGTCATTATAAACATATTATGACATTATATAATTTTTTGCCATTTTATAGACTAATCTAGATGGACAGTAACTGTTAGTTGCATCCCCATTTTAAGTTGCACCTGTGTTGTGTGGAGGAGACAGCCGATCTGGGGGATTCACGTCCACTTCTCCCCCTGCCGCTGGAGACTCCTCCTCCACTTCCTCGTTCTCGGTAGATGTCCACGCTGCCCGGGTGAAGATACGGTGAGTCTCTCGCCTCTGAACCTGAGAGAGGAGAATAAAAACGTATTGAGCATCACTCCATCACTCCTAAATGATACTCTCTACCGTGTAGAAGTAAAAACCTGATATTGTTTTGGTTACCTAAAATCTGTGCTGCTCCGTTCTTGTTAACGCTGCAGGAGGTTGTGGAGCTCATCCCCGTCGCTTTGTGCCACCGCTTCACTAGGAAACGCATTCTGAGCAGAAGATGAGCAGGTTTTACGTTTAGAAAATCGAATTTGTTGTTAAAGTGGAAATCTTAAAGATTTCCATTTAAATAAATGTCTGTTAAGTCAGTATCGACGAGGAAGGTAGCACAATGGCGATGGACCGTGTCCCAGCCTTCATTCAATAAGCCTTATTTAACATGAAGAGGTTTTGTAAAGCACCGCCCAAAACTAACACGGAGCTCCGGCTGCCTACCTGGAGAGGGCGATAGAGACTCGGACGGCAGAGCGGAAGCGCATCAGTGCCCGGCGTCGCTGGCTGAGGGACTCCAGGCCGGGGAGCGCCGGCTGGCCGCCCATCCTGGAGAGGAGCGACAGCGTGGCTTCCTCGCACTCCTGGAAGCCGCCCAGCAGTAACAGCAGATACTTCTTCTGGTAGATCAGAGCTTTGCGGAAGCTTTCTGACCTCAAGTACTTCCCGTACATCCTCTGGAGACAAAGGAAAATGATACGATTACAAAGAGTGTTCTTGGTGGCAGTTATTACAAGCAACTAACTACCAGCTCCTCAGATACAAGCTGAATCATCAGCTGTTTGTAGCTGACCTTCAGTGCAGCATTGTCAGCCTCAGGTCCCGTTATCTCTCGCAGGACGTCGGTCCTGATCTCCCCTCGGAGTCGGGCCACCTGGGCCTGGGCCAGAAGTAAAGCTTTCTCCAGACGGACCTTCTCTCTCGTCCAAGCCTCCCGCTCCTGGGAGAGTATCATCACCGACGAGTCCGCCTTCGACACTCCTCTCCTGTTGCTGAACTGCAGGACGAAATGGAACAATAGAATTTAGTCTATTTAGAGTCTTCTTCATGGAATGAAAAGAGATGAAAAGCTAAAAATCAGAACAAAACAAAGTATTTATTTCAGCTTTTCACATCAGGGTACTTCTAGTATCTTATATTATCTAATCGTTTTGGCTGCCACATCTCTGGTACACAATAATACTGATTTCAGTGTTTCTAATATTTATGATAACATCTGTCTAGTCATCTCAATCAGTAGTATTTCCTGCCGTGTACTCACACTGTCGCCTGATCCCGGTCCAGCCTGCCGGTAGCGTCGGAGCTCTTCCTCCAAGCGCAGCGTGTAGTTCCTCAGATCGTTCTTCTCTTCGGTGAGACGGCTGACAAAACCGGTCAGCTCGGCGTTCTGCCTCAGCAGCCGCTCCGTCAGGGAGATGGAGGAGCCGCTGGTGGAGCCTCCTGCCAGCAAGGAAACACTCTGCTGGGAAACACACAAAGCAGTCACAACCACGTGGGGTCCCGTCAGATTACAGGCACTCGACAGTTGGATTGGAGCTCATCAGCGAAGCGGAAATTCTTCTTTTGATCAAAATGTGTCCACCAGTATGAGAAGTGTCTACTTCTGCATATCATAAATCTAAACTCAACTCAGCCACAAAATCCACAAATATTAAATAAAACATTAGTAATATACAAATATAATAATATAAATATAAGTTCCTGACCTCGGGGACGGAGGGTAGACCTGGGGATTGCTGCAGCATAGTGATGACCTCATTAACAGTGGACTGCACCCAAGATAACTCTTCACTGTCGACCTCTGCAGTCAGTCTACACACAGACACACAAACACACACGTACAAATGACAAACATTGGGTTAATTCCATAAGGCTAATGTAATAGCACATTTATGGATTCTGTTACAACTTATTAAGTGTTAATTAAGGCTGTATTAATGCTGTACAGTTTTTTTTGGCCACTTGGTTGCAGCAGAACAAGCAGTTGATATCTTCACCTTAAACAGCTGATATGGAGAACTTTTTAATGTTAATATAAAAACATGAATTACCTCCCCGTATTCTTGTTCGCCATGCCGCGGATCTTGGAGGAAATGAGGTGGAGTTTGTCCAAGATCTTGTCGACTGTGCGCCAAGGACCGTGGTGAGGTCCGCCGCTGTGACCGGCTGGAGAGGCCTCCAGGTGCGGTGACGTGGTGGAGCTTGCCGACTGAACATTTCCGCTCTTCTGCTGGAACACCCAGTCTTCGGTGCGGTCGGTGGACTCGCTGTGCAAGACGGCCTGCTGTTTAGGAAGCAACAGCACAGCTTCAATAACAACGTCTGAATAGAAGCACTATTAAATAAATACTTAAGAGCGTGTGATACTCACACTGTCGCCGTCGGCCTGCAGATGTCCGCTTCCCTCCCTCCCTCCTCTCTGCTCCACTAACTGGTTCAACCTCTCCTCCAGTCGCTCCTTCTCTCCTTCTAGACTCTTCCTCCTCTCCATCTCTCGCTCCAGCTGCTCCTGGGCCTCAGACATTTGTGCTTCCAGCCCCTCCAGCTGGGCCCGAGCCTCCAGCAGCGCCTCCTGGTCCCGTCTCGACCTCTGACTCCCCAGAGTCAGCTCCTCGTCTTTCCGTACCACCTGGAGCTTCTGAGCCTCCACTTGACTGAGGAGGTGCACCACCTGGAGAGGAAAGATGAGGAAGAAATATAAGACATTTTGACATCATTTATACTTTTTTATCCCCCATCTTGTGGCCATTTGGAGATAAATTCTTTAGAAAACACCCCACCTGTGCATGTTTGTCATCCAGCTCCCTCTGCAGTCTTTCCAGCAGACTCCCTTCCTCGTCGAGCCCCCTACTATCCACCTTGTCCTGCTGCTCACTGGAGGGGCCGCCGTCTGAGGACACACCCATCCGCAGCTCCCGCTCCCTCCCCAGCGCAGTGCTCATCTCCAGGGCCTTGGCTCGCTCTGTCTCCAGCTGGACCTGGAACTCCTGCAGGCGTCGGTGGAGGCTGAGACGCTCCTGGTCGGCCTGCTGGGAGAGCTGAGAGGAGGCCTGGCGCTCCTGTTCCAGGGTCACGGTCAGCTGGGCCACGCGGCTCTTCTGCTCCTCCAGACTGAGGTTCAGGTCCTGAGGAGGACAATGGAAACACACTTTTTTTGAGAATTACTTCTTCAGCTGAAGAATTATGGGAAAATATAACTAGTAGATGTGCCTTGACAGCTAATTTGTGGCTGGTTAGCTTTCAATTCAGGCTAAAATATTCCAACATACAAAAGGCACCTGTGTGAAGGCTCTTACCTCCAGTTCTTCTCGTTTACTCTCCTCGTTTTTCCCCGTTCGACACCTCTCCTTCTCCATAGCCCACTGAAGATCTCTGCTCTTCTTCCGGTCCTCAGTCAGCTGGTCGTTCAGTGCGTCCACCTCAGCAGCCTTCTGTGATACCTCTGCCCTGTTGACAGAGACGTCAATGAGTTTAGCCGTGATGGATACTTTCATCCTATAGAATTGTTTTAGTTTTTTTAAAAGGTTGGTTCCTTCAAGAAAGTTCAAGAAATGCCTGGGAACTTTGTTGCATGTATTAACACCCTCTCCTCATATGTCCCATCTATAGCTCTGCTGTAAACCCAAGAAAATTCCAGGTGTGTTGGCCACACGTCTGTGAACGTGTCTAACCTGAGTGTGTCCAGCTCTTTCAGGCGTTTGTGCTGAGCCTCGAGCGTCGTCTCCAGCTCCAGTTGAGTCTGGAACAGTTCACTCTTCAGCTCCTCCGCCAGCAGCCTGCCTGCCTCCACCGCTCCATCAGCTCCTCCTCCTTGCTCCTTCACGCTACGTTCACTACCCGATGATGCAACAGGTAGAGCACCTGAAGGACAACAATCAGAGAATGTCAACACCAGGACCCGCTACTTCTAGTGAGAAGATATCAAAATGCTGGAAGAACATCAGCAGCAGAGCGACAGTAGTTTCTTTTTAAAATGGTTCACCTTGATGAAGTTGCTCTAGTTGACTTCGGAGCTGATGAATCTCAGAGATGAGACTGGACCTGTCCGCAGTGTGGAGCAACCCCATCGCCTCTCTGTGCTGAGTGTCCTGGATCAGGATCACAGAAACTTGGTTACTGACCAGCACAAATCATAATCAAAGGAGTGGAAAGTCAAGAGAATTCTTTATCATCTGTGCCAGTACTGGATTGTAAATGAGATATCCGAGTGTATTCCGGCCATATTATAGATTATAGAGTTGTTCTTTCGGACCTGTTCAGCCAGTCTGCGTTCCAGCTGATTGAGGTGGATGATGGCGTCGCTGGTGTCCAGCAGGTCCAGCTGGCTGTAGAGGGTGCTCTTCAGCATGCTGCGCTCCCTCATAAACACCTGCCGCACAGCATCCAGCAGCTCCGCACGCCAGTCCACACCGCCAGACGTCTGCAGCATGTCAGACACACACAGATAAAGACACAAGTACACACACACGCACACAAACACAGTGAAGACGAATGAATGACAACTTGAGCTCTGACAAACGGTAAGCAGTGTTTTGTGAATACTGGTGGGGTTCTTCTACCTGTGTTTCTCTGTGTGTCTGCATCTGGGTGATGAGGCCTTTGAGGGACTCCACGGTCGCCAGTAAGGCGTCTCTTTCCTTCAGCCAGCCTGGGACGTTGAACTGGCCGCCCGGCTCGCCCTCAGTGAGAGGGAGCTCCGACAGAGAGAGCACCTGCATGCCCTCCTGGTGCACCTCACGGAGCAACGTCTACATACACAAACATTCTTTTCTTGTAAATTTTCATCTCTATAATAAATAAAATTACAATCCTAATTCAGTGTCACCATGTGTCGATGAGCTCTAGGACAACGTTTCTAGTCGGGGAAGGTTGTACCTTGATGCGGTCAGGCAGTGGATCGTCAGTCTCTCTCCTCGCGCCCTCTGGAGTCGACCTGAACTCCTGCTGCAAGCTCGGGAAGTCAAATCCGGTCCGCTGGCTGTAGTCTGAGCTGCTGTCTGAAAGGTGGAGAACGATTGTCTTGAAACAGAAATTCTGAAAAAGGTTTTCGGTGTTACCAATGCTAAAAGAAACGTGTGAAATGAACACTAGCAGCTGTGACAAACTATTTTATGCATTGGAAATAAATGCACTGTATCAATGTTTCTCACCACTTGTGTAGCCATCTTTGAACAGTGATGTGGGACGGTCCCGTCTTGATGAAGGGGCCTAGAAAAGATCAACCATGATTCAGATTCTTCCTTTCACTGTATCACTCAAAATGACAATACAACTAAAGTACATGTCCTGAGTATGAAACACCTTTAAAAAAAAAAAAAGCGATTTAAAGATTTGACTTGTATATGCTGGGCATTTTTCTCAATTTTCTATTGTGTACGCTTTCTTTTCCTGCCCTCACCTCTGTGGAGCGCAGCTTGTCGATGATCGCTTTGAGGGCCTTACACTCGTCCTCCAGAGCCTGCGTGTCCGTACGAAGGCTCTCGCTCTCTGTAATATGCCGAGCCTCCATGTCCAGGATTTCTGCAGCGTGAAGCTCCTGCATCTGTGCAATCTTCTCCTGGAACTCTCCGATCACCTCCTCAATCTCGTCTTTGTTTGCGGACTCGCTTTCCGGGTCGAGGTCGGACATTTGGAGAGGATCCGTCTGCGTGGACGAGTGCGTTACCGCCACGTGCTGCTGCTCAGAGCTGCTGTTTAGTCGAGAGCTGTGAGATTTGTTGGACGACTGGCTGGAAGCGGCAGAGTTCTTCCTGGAGACGGATGGTTTATCTTTGGCACCGCTTCCTTTACCAGCGGGCTGTTTACCTCCTTTCCTTTTAGGCTGGGTGGTGGAGGAGGAAGCAGAGGAGACAAGCTGAGGAGAGGGAGCAGGAGATGGAGGACCAGAATCCACCGTCTTCATCAAGGCTGTTCGTACCTCCTGGAGCTCCTCTTTGAGCTTAGAAATGGAGAGCTCACGGATGTGTAGTTCACTCTGTAGTTTCTCATTGTGCTGCCTGTAGCTGTTGAGCTCTTGTTTGGTGGTGTCCACATTCTTTCTCAGCTCCTGGAGCTCCTCTTTGAGTTCAGAAATGGACACTTCACAGACTTGAAGGTCCTCCTGAAGTTTCTCATTATAATGCCGGGAGATGCTGAGCTCCTCTTTGGTGGAAGCCGCATCGTTTCTGACCTCCTGGAGAAGCTCCGTCATGTTGGCTTTGCTTTCTTCAGCTTGTACCTAGAGGGCGATTGGGCAGGTGGTCAAATACTACACATACAGGCAAGTATCATATTAATTTTTCATAAAAAACAATAGATTTCACTTTTGAAGAAATATGCTGATGATACTGCACATCATATTTCAGTGCAGAAAAATTAAGTTAAATCATTTCTGACTCACTTCAACAAGTTCTCCTTTAAGGTGAGAGATGGTGATTTCCCGCTCCTTAAAAAAACACAGTTGTATGTAATTAACATGCGTTTAAAGAGGGACCTACACACATATACTGTATATGTGTTTATATATATATATTTAGGGAATCGGTAATTCCCTTTCTGAGAATTAGAAGAGAAGATTGATGCCCCCAAATCAAAAATATCAATTTCAAATGAAATGTAAAATGACAACTTAAACATAAAGAACACTATGTTTGTGCAGAGTTGAGGTTTCTACAGATGAATGTCACTGAACTCAGCACCCATGACAGGACATGATTGCTTTGGCTCTGTACCTGCAGCAGCTCCTGTAGCTTCTCCAAGCTCTCCCTGCAGCTGTTCAGCTCCTCTTTGGTGGCAGCTGCCTCACTTTGAGCCTCCATTAACTCCTGCTGAAGCTCAGACACCTTTGTCTCCTCACGGCCAGCAGATGATACCTAAAGCCACGTAAAGTTTAAATATTAGACAAGGCTTTTGTTTATAAAAGATGGAAACTGTGGTTTCAAATCTTCGTTCCTACCTTTTGAAGTTGGCCCTTTAGTCTCTCTATTGCAGCCGTTTTGTCCTAGAAGAAAAGCACATGTTTGTTAGTCTCACCAAACATTAGAAATACTCTCTAATGTACGAACACCAAGACGCAGTCACATACTTGCAGCTCCTCCTGTAGT